TAAATCCAAGATCTCAGGCTGACATCCAATCCTTTCCTAGTTCTGTTGTAACTTCACCTCTCTATTCTACAATACCTGAAAGCCACCACCAACACACCTGATTAGTCAGGGTAGACGGAGTTATGCTGCAGTAATAAATGACACCCAAGTCTGAGTGGCTTAACACAACAAAATTCTATTTCCCATACATACCAAGCCCGCTGTGGGCCTAGGCAGGTCTGTAGTGCCACTCTAGTCCATGAGGTGGTTCAAAAGATTCCAGGCCGCCTGGATCTCTTGGCGTGCTCCTCCTTCTCAACAAATGTTTCCATGGTCGTTCCAGCCAGGTAAAACAGCAAGGAGAACCCTGGCTTAAATGCTTCCATCCACAAATGACACATGCCACTTCTGCACACAGTTAACTGACCAAAGTAGGTCACGCAGCCAGGCCAAACTTCAAGTGGGGGACTGCCAGGAAAAATAAACAGCCATCTTGATGAGCAGAAGTCTTCTTTACACAACAACCTATAATGAAGAACAGAATAAAGGCGGATGACAGAAAAAGGGAATCAGTTAAAGAAACAGTGACATTTCGCAACCTGGAAGGCAATAGGAATAAAAGCTCTAGTCAACAGTTCTGAAACTGGTCCTGGGGCCTAATTGGCATTCATTCCTTCGTTTTTATATTAGTTTCCTACGGCTGTGTAACAAATTGCCACAAACTTAGCAGCTTCATGGTTTCTGTGGGTCAAGAGTTCAAGTACTTGTTGCCTGGGTCCTCTGTGCAGGTATCAGCCAGGGCTGCAATCTCATCTCAGGCTCAGAATCCTCTTCCCAGCTCACTGGGTGCTGGCAGTCGTGGTTGTAGGACTGAGGCCTTGAGTGCCTAGAGCTGCCTGCCGCGGCCTGCTGCAGGGCCCTCGCCACAGCACGGCAGTTTGCTTCTTCGAGGCCAAATAAGAGCATCTGCTGCCGCTTCTTACTTCTTATCTCTAGACACCTTTTTACAAGGGTTCGCCTGATTTAGTCAGGCCCACCTAAAGGAAACCTCCCTTTTGACAAACTGAAAGTCAACAGATTAGAGACCTTAATTATACCTGCAAAATCCCTTCATTTTGCCCTATCTAATCACCTAATCCCATCATATTCAAAGGTGGGATGTCAAAAATAAACAAACAAACAAAAAAACCCTCAAAGCAGGATTAGACAGGCATGCACACCAGGGGGCAGGGAACTCAGAATTCTGTTTACCGTACTTTCTCTATAACTCATTCCCTTCGTCCCCAACTGGCACTTCAGCTGGCTGACCTTCTGTGCTGCTAAGGAACTCACACCTTCACACTCAAAGGATGTGAAGCTCCTATTGGTCCTGCCTGATTAAGGTACCGGAGTCTTCCATTAACTTTGACCACTGGGCCTGGCCTCATTAGGAAGTACCCCAAGGATTACCCCTATATGCATAGCTTCTTTCACCAGTTACCCTTCCCCTGCCTCACTGGGATTAGTCACAAACCCCTGTCCTTCCTCTGAGCCTTTGCTTCCTGTTCACTCCACCTGGACTGCCCTCCCTCCTGCCTCACCCATCTTCAAGGCTCCACAGAGCTTCCTCCTCCATGAAGCCTCTCCTACCTTCCCTCTGGGCCCACAGGGCTCCCCATCTCCAGCCACACAGGTCACCTTCCGCTTTGGGTTCAAGGACCCTTGTTCCCTGCATTTCTCCCAAGCAAGATCAGTCCAAACCCAGGAACCCTGGGATCCAGAGTGGCCCAAATTGCAGGAAGTAAAGGAGGGGGTTGTTCAGGAAACCCTGGCAGTGATTTTACTTCAAGCTCCAGGGGGTAAGAGGCAGGGAAGAGGGAGGTGTACTATTGCTCAAGAGTTCCCCCATTCTGATGACCAGTCAGCTCCGGAAGTCCTGTGCAATGTTCTACCCACACTGCCCCTCTGGCTGGCCAGAAGCCTCTGGTGGAGGTTTTGGACACGAATGGAGTGTGAAGCAGATCTCTTCCCAGGATCAGGGACTTTCAAGAGCTGACTCATCATTTCCAGTAAGAAATTCTGGAGCAAGACAACTGAGACTCCTCAGGCCAGAGCCCTCTTCCACTGCCCAGGAGTCACTCATCCTGTTTTCTCTCTATACCAGATGCCTTCTGCAGGCTCATGAGATTGAGGGAGCCTCATATCCTCTTTCCCTTTGCACTGGGCGCCCCCTGCAGGCCCTATGAGGTTGAGAGCCACAAAGTGGATTGAACAAACAGCTAGCAGGCTCACACACTCGAGTGCACACACACAATACACACACACACACACACACACACACACACACACACGCCCGAACCCGCGCACTCCAACACCTTAATCCACCTACACGTCTGTCCACACAGTCAGATAATCAATCACACAATCATTTACATACCCCAAGGACACAGCACAGATAGTGAAGCATATACATTATTACAATACAGATACAAGGACATAGACAGACACACATAATTACACACAGACATGTGCACATAGACACTCGCTCACACAAGGACACAATCTTTTCTTCTAGAAAGGAGTATTTGTTTGTGGGAAATAGGTTGTAAAGCCATCTGAGAAACAGGGCAAAATCCTGAGTGGTGGACTTAAGAAAAAGGTGGCTAGAGCCTGGCCAGCGTAGCTCAGTGTTTGAGCGTCAACCTATAAACCAGGAGGTTACAGTTCGATTCCTGTCAGGACACATGCCTGGGTGGTGGGCTCAAATTCCCAGGGTGCAGCATGCAGGAGGCAGCCGATCAATGATTCTCTCTCATCACTGATGTTTCTCTCTCTCCCTCTCCTTTCCTCTCTGAAATCAAAAGATATTTTTTAAAAAAAACAGCCAAATGAAAAGACGCACAGGGCGAATTGTGCGAGGGTCTCTCTCAAATACTCTCTCCTCTGGGAGACATGCAGGGCACATAGCCCTCCCAGCACATTGTTCCATTCACCAAACAGGAAGTCCCGGAGTTTTGGTGTCCAGAGTTTTTACTGAGACTTCATTACATAGGCTTCATTGAGCCACATGCTGAACTCCATCTCCAGCCCCTTTCTTTGGAGCCTGGGCTGGCTCAAAGCCCCAGTTCTCCAAGGACATAGTTGATCTTTCAGTGATGAGCCCCCATCCTAAGTTATCTCATCTCCAACCAAAAACCCAGGTGTAATCCAATGAGCTCATAAATAACAAAAATACCCTATTGCTTGAAAAAGTCCAAAGATTTAGAGTCTCTTGCTCAGAAACCAGGGACAAAGGTCAGTGGAATTATATATATATATATATATATATATAGCCAGCGACCAGAAGGCTATAATGACCAGAATGACTGGTCGCTATGACACCCACTGCCACCAACAAATTGGTCCCATCAGGGATGGGTCCAGCTAACCTCTCCAGATCTGTCACCTGTCTGTGGCACAGACAAGGCAAGATGGGAATGAGAGGGAGAAAGGGTGGGATGTGGGAAGAGAGTAGATGTATCCATTCTCCACACTTCAGGCTGAGGGAACTTTCACTTCACTCGTTTCTAGTCACTCTTTCTCCTGTCCAGCCACAGAGCTCCTGTCCTCCCTCCAAAGACCATCTAGGGCAGCTATTCCCAACCTCAGCTGATTGCTCTTTCTGGGTTCTGCCACAGCACCCTCTACTGTGCCAGTCTTCTAGGTTTATTGTCTCTTTCAATCCCCCCAACTCCAACCCAGATGATAAGCCCTCTGAGGGTGGAGACTGTGCCTTTCTTCTTCTTTTCAAATTTTATTTGAGAGAGAAGAAGGGAAAAGAAATATTAATGTGAGCAACATTGATTGGTCGCCTCCTGCACACACCACCTGACCTGGCTATGTACCCTGACCGAGAATCAAACCTGCCACCTTTTGGTGTTCAGGACAACACTCCAACTGAGCCACACCAGCCAGGGCTGTGCCTGTCCTCTTCACAGTTGTCTCCCCACACCCAGCACAGTGCCTGCATGTAGCAGACACTCGATAAATAGTTGTTGATTGAATGACTGTAGGAACAAAAATCACAGGAAGGTAGGTCTCGGCCCAGATAGGAAGGGCTTTGACCCTCTGGCCCCATTAAGTGACTTGGCCAAGGCCACTCATCCGAGAAGTATTTTCACAGCCTGGCCTGTCTAGACTGAGCCCTCTCTGGAGGCCTATTCCTCCTCAGCCCAGGGTCACACAAGAAGCACAGGGCAGATAAGAAAAGGCCATTGTTGGGGCAGAAGCCAAGGAGATTGAGAGAAGAGAGAATTGAGGAAAACAGCACTGAACATGTCTCAAAGCTCTTTTCTTGTTAATATATTTTTTTTATTGTTGACAGTATTATAGATATCTCCAACCCCTCCCCCCCCAAAAAAAAGCTCTTTTCTTGCTGCCTATTACTGAGGTCTCCATCTCCCAGGGTAGACCTCCAAAATCGACTCCATCCTTATAAAAGAGAGTCCAGAGCCATGCATCTTGGCAATAAATACCAACTTGATACTTTAGGGACAGGCCCCGCCTCCACCTCCTGTAGACACTTTGACCCCGCCCCCTCTGAAGAGAGTCAAGACACTTTGACTCCGCCCCTTCCGGGCAGAGGGAGCCCCGCCCCGGTGCGCGGAGTCCCTGTGACGTCACGGTAACGGTCTGTTTCCGGGGTGGAGCCAGGGAGGGCGGAGTTTAGGCTGCACCGACCCCTCAGTCCCCCTCCAGGTGACCCAGCCCCCGAACATCCTCACCTGGGGCCCCAAATACCCCCAACTCCATGGCCGCAAAGCCTGTCGCCCTGACCCCGTAAATGCCGCAGGCCCCTGCGGTGGCCGACCTCCTAATCCCATAACGTCTCGTGCCTCCCCATCCCCTCCCTGATGTGCAACTGAGCCTTCCCGGGGGCGCCTGCCTCGGGTCACCCGGGAGCCAGTCAGGCCGATCCGGAGGATGCCGGAGAAGGGGGCCGGGAGCGGGGAAGTGCTTGATCCGATCATTCCGCCCCCCAGGAGACGTGCGGAGCCCGAGACATGCCGGGATTGAGGAGATACGAGGTGGCGCTGGAGGCGGAGGAGGAGTGAGTGGAGGCGGGTTTTGCGGGGGAGAAGCGAGCGGCTCGGGGTGGGGGGAGGGCGCGAGTTCTCCGGGGGCGGGGGGCGGGGCCTCCTATGTGAGGGGCGGGGTCTCCGAGGGGAGGGGAGGGGCCTCTGCGGGGCGGGGCGGGGCCTCCGGGAGACGCGCGGAGTGCGGCGGGGTCAGCCGCCCCGCCTGGCCCGGCTCTGCCTTCTCTCCGCAGGATCTACTGGGGCTGCTTCTACTTTTTCCCGTGGCTGCGCATGTGGCGGAGGGAGCGGAGGTGAGGGGGCTGCGAGGCCGCGGGCCCTCCCCGGGCACGGACGGAGCACAGATCTGCGGGGGCGTGCGGGAGAGCCCGCCCAGCCTCATAAGCCCGTGTCGGGTCGCCCCACAGCTCTGCACACCCCCGGGAGCCGAAGCTGGAGCCTCTGCGGGGCCTGATGAGCTGCCTGTCGAGCGGCCTGGGCCCTGTCCCCCAGCGCTCCGGTCTCGCCCTCCCCCGCCGCACGCCCGCCGCCACTGCCCAGCCCGCCAGTGCATTAAAGGTTTAACCGAAGCCGCCGCCGCGCCGCCCTCCTGACTGCCGCCGCCGCCGCTGCCGCCACGTTTACGCGGGGAGCCCCTCTCCGTGCTGGCTGTGTCCTTCAGTGGCGGGGCCTCTCTCCTCAATAGGGTGCCCTTCCATGTCTAGTTTCCTGTCACATCTAAGGGTCTCCCATCGGTGTCAGGCCCTCACGACCGTCAGTGACTGCCCTTCACTCCCTGCACCTGCATTCGTCACCGAGCAGCCTGTGGGGAGGGTTGGTCTTCCTTCCAACTTTATGCCCACATCCTTGTGTCCTCACAACCCCAGCTCTCTGTCTGCTACCACCTTCCTCCTCGCTAAGACTGTGCCAGATCTTCTTTTCCTAGGAGTGGATCTAAAAGATCTTAAGGCCGAAACCGGTTTGGCTCAGCGGATAGAGCGTCGTCGGCGGTCCCAGGTTCGATTCTGGTCAAGGGCATGTATCTTGGTGGCGGACACATCCACAGTGGGGGGTGTGCGGGAGGCAGCTGATCGATGTCTCTTTCTCATTAATGTTTCTGACTCTCTATTCCTCTCCCTCTTCCTTCCTCTCTGTAAAAAATCAATAAAAATATATTTAAAATAAAATAAAAGATCTGAAGGCCAGAGTTGTGGAAGTAGGCTGTGAGGGGAGGGGAAAGAGTCCTAGAAGCTGTCTCCCTAAGCCTGCCATAGGGAAGAGACTTGGGACTGTGGGAGGGCTTTCCCTGTAATTAATACCCCAACTTCCAGCTCCTCCGTCTGACCCCAAGTTTAAAGACACTTGGAATCCACCCACCTAGAAGTAAGCTGTTCCTTAGGACTACCTAAGGGCCACTGTTCCCTGTCATCCCTTTCTCTCTCGTCACCCAGTTGACCACTATCTCCTAAAGTGCTGAGGGTCAGGGACTCCAGTAGGCCAACACCCCCCTCAGTTAGGGGCTGGTCCCCGCACCAGAAAGGGCGCAAAAGGATTACGTTAAAGAGATGGCCCAGTTTGTGGGTTGAGGGCAAAGCTAACTTTCAGCCTGGGGCGGCCCCGGCCACAGCAGGTTGTGGCTGAGGAGACCTGGCCCTGTCTACGGAGAAGCCGATGGGAAGAGATGGGTACGTACCTGGAAGAACCCATTTCTTGCCTTCTCAGGTCTCTGGACTGACTTGCCCAGGAGACAGACAGCTGACGCAGGTCTGTGACAGGACGATGGCACCTCAAGCACTGCACCCAAGCTCTGAGCCACACGTCCAGACTGGAGGGTGGAGAGAGCCCCTCAGGCTCTGGCACTAGAAGTTCAAGATGTCTCTGGTTGTGTCCACCTTCAGAAATGGACCCGGGTCTTGAGCCATTTTATCACAATGTCTACATCAAGAACCCTATCACAAGGAAGGACCCTGTCTAACCCCGGGCCTATGCCTCACCAGGAAACTGTCAGAACTCCTGAGTGGCCACAAGGCAATTTTCGGGAAGGGCCTTCAAGTTCCACCTGGACCGGAGGGGAAGCTCCGTTGTTCAGCCTGAGAGGGGGCTCGTTTCTGCTCTCGGAGCCGATGGTCCCCCCCCGATTGCTGCAGCAGAACAAGTTGCCCAGCAAAGGTGTGAGTCCCCAGGCCGAGAGAAGGCTAAAACAGCGGAAATGCTGCAGATGGGGCGCTCCTGCAACAACTAGATAAGGACTTGATTACTGGGTTATGACTCAGGACTTGAGGGTTGAAATCCCCAGACCTGGTGTGGGAAATTCTTCAAGTTGCCAAGGGCACTAAACACCTAGGCCAGTGGAAGGCAAACCTCGGCTCACGAGCCACATGCGGTTCTTTGGCCCCTTGAATGTGGCTCTTCCACAAAATACCACATGTGGGCGCGCATGTACAGTGCGATTAAAACTTGGTGGCCCATGCTGAAACCGGTTTGGCTCAGTGGATAGAGCGTCTCGGCCTGCAGACTGAAAGGTCCTGGGTTCGATTCCGGTCAAGGGCATGTACCTTGGTTGCAAGCACATCCCCAGTGGGAGTGTGCAGGAGGCAGCTGGTAGATGTATCTCTCTCATCGACGTTTCTAACTCTCTATTCCTCTCTGTGTAAAAATCAATAAAATATATATTTTTTTAAATTAAATAAAAAGCAATGGAAGATCAACCAAAGGGGAAAAAAAAAAAAAAAAAAGCTTGGTGGCCCATGCCCAGAGGTTGGTTTTTGGCTCTCAGAAGGAATTTCGATCTTGTACTGTTGATATTTGGCTCCGTTGACTAATGAGTTTGCCTACCACTGCCCTAGGCAGTTCCCAGATTCCTGGAAAGGACAGGAGGAGGAGTTTCTCTTTGACTCAAAGACTTTGAGGGGTAAGGGGAAGCAGGGAGTGAGGGCTGGGTATGGGATTAGAAGGGACAGGAAGTAGATGGGAGGTTGGGGTGTTAGCAAGAAGATGGGATGCTGAGGGCGTTGGTGTTCCTGGGTATTACTGAGCCTGGGTGGGGACGGAATGTTTTCCCAGGCCCACAGTGGAGAGAAGCCAGAATCTGAACAGAACAAAAGAGAAGCAATTGAGCTCTTGAGTCTGGTGTCTCCATAAGCCAAGTAAGGTCGGAGTATGGAAACCCAGGCCAGGCCCCTTTTGCCAAGAAGCTGGCATTTCTGGGACAGGACTAGGCAAAAAACAAAAAGATTTCTTGTTTGTTGTGTGGGTTTTTGTTGTTTGTTTTTACTTTAGTAGTAACCTGGCACCAAAGAACTTTTATCTTCCCTCATCTGCCCTCCTTACCCACTCCACCCTTCCTTCCTGTCTCATCTTGCTGGGGAAAGCAGCGCCCACCTCAACATCTCCAAGGCACCCAAATACCACCAAAGGGGCTTCCCAGACCCGCCTGCCGAGGGACCTGTTCCCATCAATATCTCCTGATAAGATAGATAAGCAGCTAGGGCGGGAAGTGGGGAGGGGAAAAGGAAGGCACTTGTGCTGGTTTGCCCTCAGCTCCAGCCTACCCACACGCCCCCATTAGAATTTGTGTGCTAGTCCGACTGGAATACTGTGAAAACAGCTGTGTGGCAGTGGGATTTTGCATAATTCTGTCTATGGTTGTCTGACCATGTGAGGTTGATGGAGTGAGGTGTGACTGTGAGTGTGTAGCTGTGGGTATATGAGTGTGAATGTCCATCCTTGGATGCCACTGCGGACTCTTGGCTGCTCTTACTCAGTCGCTGTCCCTTCAGGCCCCACATCATGCACGATCCCTCTCCCCAGCCTCTCCGCCCAGGGCTTAGGAGCCCATGGGAAAAGGCTTTCCTAAAAGAGGAAGGGTCCTCTGGCCCAGAGCCCAGGAATGCCGCAGGATGAGACATTATCTTCACCCGCCTCTGACTCACCTGGCGCCCCAGGTTAAAGGTATCCGATAAAAGATAGGGGAGACGGAGGAGAGAGAAAGACGTATCCAGGCTGTGCAGCATGAAGGAGCCCTCACCCACCCTCACCCACCGTCTCCTGCTTCTGTTGCTTCTGATCCCCGACCTGGGAGCAGGTCAGTGCTTGGGAGTCTAGGAGGCCAGGGATCTGGATGAATGGGATGGGGGGGGGGGGGGGAGAGCAGGGGGCCAGGAAGTCCAGCTTCCAGCTGTCTGATTGAGGGGCTTTCGGTCAGGAGCCCTCTGAACATGTGGGCCCATTATTCCCTAGCAGTGCTACTGCCATCCAGTACTACCTGCTGTACTCAGCTCTACCGACAGCCACTCTCGAGAAAGCTACTGAGGAAGGTCATCGGGGTGGAGCTGCAGGAGGCTAATGGGGACTGTCACCTCCAGGCTTTTGTGTGAGCTCTGACCCTGCCCTTGACACTGACCCCTAACTCTGACCCCAATCCCGGATGCAGATCCTAACCCCAGCCCCACCTGCTATTTCGGATGCCAGCCCAGGCTGTCATCCGGCCTCTGCCCCTCATCCCTGGACCCTCACCTAATCTGCCAACTATGACCATGGCTTTGGGCCTTTCCTTTCCCAGGCTTCACCTGCCTCGGCGCAGTGTCTGCATCCACCCCCAGAACCGCAGCCTGGCTCGATGGTTTGAGCGCCAAGGAAGGAAGTTCCAGGGGACTCTGCCCAATCTGAATTTCGATCTAATAGGGAAAATGGGCCGGGACCCCCAACCGTCAAAACAATAAAGCTCTATTGAACAATAGCCTCTGGTGGTGGTCTCCAAGTTCTATGTATTCTCCTGCGAGCCCTGAACCTGAAGCTGGGAGACATGTAATTAAACAAAGAACCTCCTCATTCTCTTTATTCACACCTTCACAACCCCCACCAGGGGCAAGGCAAACAGCCAAGGACCCACACACACTCCCCAGATAAGTACATACATACATACGTGCAGAGAACACATTTTCCCTGCCTCACATACACATGGGCATACATGGACACAAATATACACATCTATAAACATTCCACTGGTGGGCCTCTAGCTCTGGGATAACATCAGAGGTCCAGGTACCTTTCATCTGGCAAGTTGGAACAGAGAGTCTCATAGAAATGGGCTCCAAACAAAACTTCAACTGAGACACCTCCCTTCATGAGGATCCACTGCCCTGCCTGGGTTCTATCTATCCGTCCATCCAAACCACAAGACAGAGTTATATGTGGAATTAGCTGAAGTCTTCCGGGGTTCTCTATAGGTTTGGGGCGCCTAGAAAAAGGAAAAGGCAAATCAAGGGAGATAATGGGACCAGGTTTCGGCCCAGACACCCTGAGTATGAGGAAGGAGACCCAGCTCTAAGCTTAACATTCCAAGAATGAATAGGGGAACCTAGCTCTGAATGAGCTCCAACACCCTAAAAATGAGGGAGAGAACCTAGCTCTAGGGCAGGCACATCAAGAATAAGGGAGGCTGAAAACAGTATGGCTCAGTGGATAGAGCGTTGGTCTGTGGACTGGAAGGTCCTAGGTTCGATTCCGATCAAGGGCTTGTACATTGGTTGCGAGCACATCCCCAGTAGGGGGTGTGCAGGAGGTAGCTGGTCGATGTTTCTCTCTCATCGTTGTTTCTAGCTCTCTATCCCTCTCTCTTCCTCTCTGTAAAAAATCAACTATATATATATATATATATATATATATATATATATATATATATAAAAGAATAAGGGAGAGGCCCTGACCAGGTAGGTCAGTTGGTTAGAGCAGTGGTTGGCAAACTGCGGCTCTCGAGCCACATGTGGCTCTTTGGATCCTTAAGTGTATCTCTTCACAAAATACCATGGCCTGGGCAAGTCTATTTTAAAGAAGTGGTGTTAGAAGAAGTTTAAATTTAAAAAAAATTTGTCTCTCAAAAGAAATTTCAATTGTTGTACTGTTGATATTTGGCTCTGTGGACTAATGAGTTTGCTGACCACTGTCCAAGGCCAAACCTCCTGGAGGGTCTTAACTCACCTGGAAGCTTGTCCACTGGAATCATCGGGGCCAAGAAACCAGGCTTCTGGGGTCCATCTTTCCCATCTGGCCTCAGCCTCAGCCTGGAGCATAAAAAGGCAGCTGTTTTCCTGACAAGGTAGGGCATCTCAGTCTCCTCCAAAAGGGTTTATTATAATAGGAAAGGTTAGGAGAGGAATCAGTGAGATCATGAAAGTTGAGGAGAAGAAAGAAAAGTGGTTCCAGAATCATGTTCAGCGGGAAGTCATGAGGGGTGGGGAAGGGTATGGTCTGTGGGTATCTGAGCATCTGTGTGAGATCAGAGGCTAAGGCACCAATGACAGGCACTTACCAGAGCCCCAGTGCCAGGGCCCCAGCTGCCAGTCCCAGGAAAGAGAAGATTCCTAAAGATGCCAGGACAGCCACCTGCTCCAGAGGGTCCCTGTGGACTGGAGGGGCGGGGATCACACGTGAGAGTGAGCCTGACCAAACTCAGTGCCCCCTTCTCTCTGGAACTTTCCCATCCACTACCTTTGCCCATCTACCCAAGCTCACCAAGTGGCTGTAAGTCCGGCAGGAGGGAGGGCCTTGGGGGGGCAGGGCTGTCTGCTTGAGGCTCCTTCTCCAGCTGCATGTAGGGCTGACCCCCAGCAGGTATCTCCTTAGGTAGGGGCCCTGAAGAGAGGCAAGACCGGGGGAGAATTGTCCGCACAGGGTAGAGGCAGAGGCCAGAGCCTGCCAGTTGAAGCCAGGGGCCTGGCTTGGACACAGGGGCACCTAGGAAGCGGGGCCTGAAAGGCTAGAGTCAATTTCTGGAGATGTATCAGGGGTGGAGGCTGAGGAGCAGGGTGGCAGGCAGCCAAGGCTGAAGCCTGGAACAGCGATTGCCATGCCTACGTGGGCGGGGCATGTGCCCTGCAGCCCTGTTTGTGCCAACCTGTCTAGCTGAGGGACAAGGCGCATTCCTTGGTTCTGTCTCTCACCAGTGCTTGGAGTCCCCCAGGCCTCGGGGCTCCAGGCGCTCCAGCTGCCAGCATCCAGAAAGTCCCGGGCACTGACGCGGACAGCATGGGGCAGCCCTGCCACAGCATCTGTGATCACCTCCTCCAATCCAGCTGGCTCCACCTGGCGGTGAAGGTGGTTGAGTCATCCGGATTATAAACACTGAGCCTCCCCAGCTGGAGGGGGTTGGGGGGAGGCCAGTCTGCAGAGTACCCCTCCTCCCTGCCCTGTCCCTGTCAGCCTGGCAGAGCCATTTGGGCCCCAGGGAGAGTGGCTGGTGGTATCAGGTCTACACCCAGTGTGTGGAAGATAAAACTATATAGTGTTATATAGACAGGCTGTGCTGTCAGACTGCCCGGGTTCAAATCTTCCCGGGTAACCCTGAGCCTCTCTATGCCTCAGTTCCTTCATTTGTAAAATAGAGGTGGGAACACCTCAGTGAAATAATGCCTATACAAATGTGTGGCTGGTGCCTGGTGGGCAGACAGTGCTCAGTAAATATTGGTTATTAGCTGAGGCAGCCACTCCCCAGGCGTGATGCGACCAACCTCTGGCATCTCCCGAGGTGGGAATTCACTGCGATCTTTATCTGGGATATGAGCGTTTTGTATCTGGGCATATGAGGATGTGCTTCTGGACGAAAGACACTTCCAATTATAGTACATGTGATGCCCGAGTGAGCACGACACCTCTTTTCCTAGAAAAGTTATTTTTAAAAAGCCACTGCTGCCTCCCCACAGATAGTCTTACATCAGAGTTCCATCAAACAGGACAGAGGCTTGGCTTACTGCTCCCGCTGCAACCCCAGCCCCCAGCACCAAGCCTGGCCCGTGGGAAGCCCTCTCTATGGGATCCAGGGACCCGCCAATGCCAGAAACCCATGCAGAACACCAGAAACAGGAAACCAGAGGCAGGACCCGCAGCCCTGGGACACATCCAGGCCTCACCGTGGACCAGGTGGGATGCTGCACTGGACGGTACTGCAGCCGGAACTTGAGCAGGAAGTGGGGCTGGCGGGGCCAGGAGGCAGGGTACGTCCAGCTGGCACGCAGGCGGCGGGGGTATCCAGGTACTGGCTCTACCCGCAGCCCCTGGGGTGGGTCAGGACGCACTGCGGTGGTGGAGACACAAAGTCAGGGCAGAGGACAGGTACCCATCCCTTAGCCACCACCTCCCACGGGAAGGGGGGGGGGGTGTGCCTAAAGGTGCCTGAAGGAGGCATTTCCAAGAGGGCGGGGAAATCTTAGGATTGATCATCCTTTAGGCTCAGGACCTGCCTGTTATCCTTGTTATACAGTGAGCTGAGATCTGGAGGCAGGTTTTTGGAAGCTTTGTGAGTGGTTTGTTTTGTTTTTTGTTAATCCTCACCCGAGGATATTTTTTCCATTGACTTTTAGAGAGAGTGCAATGGAGAGGTAGAGACACAGAGAGAAAAAAACATGGATGTGAGAGAGACACATCGATTGGTTGTCTCTTGCACACTTCCTGACTGGGCCAACGATTGAGTCTGCCACCAAAGTATGTACCTGTGGCCAGAATCGAACCCACAACCCTTCAGTCTAAAGGCCGATACTCGCCAAGGCCGGTTTGGCTCGGTGGATAGAGCGTCAGCCTGCGGACTGAAGGGTCCCAGGTTCCATTCCAGTCAAGGGCATGTACCTTGGTTGCAGGCACATCCCCAGTAGGAGGTGTGCAGGAGGCAGCTGATCTATGTTTCTGACTCTATCTCTCTCCCTTCCTCTCTGTAAAAAAATCAATAAAATATATTTTTTAAAATAAAATAAAATAATAAAATAAATGCCGACACTCTAACTACAGAGCCAACACAGCTAGGGCTGTAGAGGGGATTAAAAAGTAACCCTGCTTTCCATCAAGGAAGAAGAGGAGTCAGCCCAAATTCCAGCCAGAGCTCTTGCCCCCATCCCACGTACAGGTGGAGAGGAAGGAGGGCCCAGTGATGGCTTCCAGTGGACAGGGAGGACTTGAGACGTGGCCGCCTTCAGCTCAGAGCTCAGAAGCAGAGAGACCGCTCTGAGGCTTGGCCGCTAGGAAGGACTGGTAGAGAGAGGGGAGGGGCAACAGCCCTGGGCTCCGATCGCTTTGGCTCCTCGGTCTCCACAGGGGCCATCTGTGTGCTGGAACAGGGGTCTGTGCTGGGAGGGAACTGTCCGGGCGCTCCGGGGAGTTCCGTGTTGGGACACGGAGCCTCTGTGGAGGGGATCGGGGGGACTCCAGGGCTGGGTACTCACAGATGCTCTGCAAGCTCACGTCCAGCAGGCGGGTGCTGGCTCCCAGCGGGTTCACCTCCGTCACATTGATGCGGTACTGGCTCCAGAACTCCGCCCCGTGGACCACACAGCGGGCAGCCCCAGGGGGGTCCTGAGGGCACGGCCAGGGCCCTGTCGATGGGCTTGTCCTGCGACAGAGGAAGTGGTCTTGGGCTTCGGAAAAGCTCATGGTGGGGTCCGGCTGTAGCCCCCAGCCTCTCCCTCAGGTCCTACCTCTGGCCATCAGCTCCTGGCACTGTCTTCTTCCTGGCAGGGAGGGGGCCGCCTGAGGTCAGGTAGGAAAAGAGGGTCCTCCCTCTTTCCAAGGCTTTCCCCGGAACCTCCCTCCCGGCCTCCCAGCCGCCCACACCCACGTTGTGCTGGCACACGTAAATGTGCAGACCTACACGCCCCGTCACGCACGCACCTGTAGGAAGTAAGGTAGCGGGTGGGCAAACCGCTGACCTGGCTGGGACTCCACGCGCAGGAGAAGTTCTCATAGTCGGCTGCTCGGCAGGAGACGACAGGCCGAGCCGGGGGGTCTGGAGGCAGAGGGTGAAGCTGGAGACTGAGAAGTCCCCAACCTCCTACCTCAGTGGGCTTACTCCGGACCTCGATTCCCTCAGGAGCCCCATGTCTCAGCACTGCCACCCCATACTCCCTCCCCAACTCACAGCCCAGCTGCAGGGTCACTGTGCCCCCAACGGCGCCATCCAGGCTCCGGCAGATGTAGGTCCCCTCGTCAGTGCTGTCTGCACGGGCCAGGACCAGCTCATGCCCCAGCCCAGAGTCAGGTCCCTGGAGCAGCCTGGTCTCCCCGTCCCGAAACCAGGACACGGGGGTCCTGCGGGGGAGACAGGGTGATGGTGACAGACAGGGGAAAGGTTTCAAGTGTAAGTTGGACCAGGCCACAGCTCTCCGTGGCCTTCTCGCTCACCTGCTTTAAAGCCCATGCTCCTTTCGCTGATCCACAAAGCCCCTGGTTAACTCAGCCCTTCCATTCCTTCGTCAGCTCCTCCTTCCACCCCCTCACCTACTGTACCCCCATCCTTCCAGTTAGTCCCTTTTTCTGTTCAGGAGTGTTCAGCTCGCCCAGCTGGTGTGGCTCTGTGATTGGGCGTCGACCCACCAATCAGGAGGTCACAGTTCGATTCCTGGTCAGGGCACGGGCCCCGGTTGTGGGCTCCATCCTAGCGTGGGGTTGTGCCGGAGGCAGCCCATCAATGACTCTCATCGTTAATGTTTCTCTCTGTGTGTGCCTCTCCCTTCCTCTCTCTGAAGTTTAAAGAAAATAAAGTGTTGAGCTCATTCCCACCTCAGGGCATTTGCACTGGCCTTTGACAGAAATGCTTCTACCTCCACCTGTGCCTGGTTTTCCTGACCTTCACAGGTCAGCTTCGGTGTCACTTCTTCAGAGGCCTTCCCTCATTACCAAGAAAAAGGAGCCACTCAGTTATCCTCTTCCAGGACACCCTCTTTCCATTGTCTGCCCAGCAGGTATTATTAGCTGGCAAGATTCTTTTAAAAAATATATATGTATATATTTTATTGATTTTTTTTATAGAGAGGAAGAGAGAGGGATAGAGAGTTAGAAACATGAATCAGCTGCCTCCTGCACACCTCCTACTGGGGATGTGTCCGCCACCAAGGTACATGCCCTTGACCATAATCGAACCTGGGACCTTTCAGTCCGGAGGCTGATGCTCTCTATCCACTGAGCCAAACCGGTTAGGGCTGGCAAGATTCTTATTTGCTTATTGAGTGACTGCCCCACTGGGATGTAAGCTCTGTGAGGGCTGACATCTTGCCTGGCTGGTGCACCGCTGTATCACAGGAACTAGAATAGACCAGGCACTTAGCGGGTGCTCGATACATGTTGATTGAAATTGATGAATAAGTATGGTTTGAAGATTAGGGCAGATACAGAGGCAACGATTACAGACACCGGGGGCAAAGGTGGGAGGGGCATGAGGACTGGGCAGGGTCAAGAAAGGGTCGTGAGTGTCACCCCAACAGGCAGGAGGGCACTTACCCAGCGGTCACTCCAGGGCAGCACAGCGTCATGGGCCTTCCAGGCTGCCCATATTGGACCCCTGTGGAGGGCACTTCTGAGGAGAGGCTCTTCCTCTCCCTCCCCCCAAACACCCCATTTTATGAGAGTGAAGGGGCAAGGAGTAGACTTTTAAGCCCTGGGTAGAGTCATTGGGTCAGAGTATCATGTTATAATGAGGAGGCAGAGGTCCGAGGACAGGTTAGAAAGGGGATGGTGCCAGGTTGAATGTCAGGAGTTTCGGGGCCACAGATTAGATTTGGGGTGGGGACCGCAATGAGGGTGGCAGGCCATAAATCGGAGTTGGGTTCATGCAGCAGGGTTCTCACCTGGGGGGCCCCAGGCCTGGGGACAGGAGGAGGAGGCGGACACGAGGGCTGCAGCTACAGCCACCAAGACCCTGCTCAGTCCTGAACAGCTGCTGCTCATCTGTGGGGGAGAGGCAGTGTCAGCAACCCCGTACCCCCAAGATAAGAGACTGACTTCAGCGTCTTCTTCTTCTAAACTGTGGCTTTCTAGGAGGAAACTGAGGCATCAAGTTGGGGTAAATATATCAGAAATCACTGGGGGATCTGACCTAAGATCCCCCTTTCCACCGCACATCCCTGTGCTGTGGCATATCACACACACACACACACACACACACACACACACACACACAGTGCTGTGCGCGCACAAGCACACACACACCCTTGGTCTCCATCTCAGTCCTGGGCTTAGAGCCCAGAACAAAAGCTGGAAGCGACAGACTGCCAGCACCACCCCCTCCCCTGCACCTCCCTTGGCGCCCACTCCCTGGCACCAAATGCCAGCACCGGCTCCGTCATTCCTATTAACTCCTCCAATCCAGCTGTCAGGAACCCTGGCATCCACCTGGCCCACGGCGAACCACGGCCTCTGACTGACCTGAGGCAGCCCCCGTCCCCCCCGAGCTGTCCTGGTGGGTCTAAGCCCACCCTGCACGCCTGCCACGGAGCCTCGCCCTGCTCCAGCTGCCAAGCCTTTTCTCGCCTGGACCTGCCTGGCCTCCTGCTCTGGCTCCTTGGGCCACTCATCTGGCCAGACCCTGCAGTCTTGGTCGCGAGCCTATGAGGCTGGATGGGGCTAGGGTGCAGGCTCGGGCTGTAGAGTTAAGCAGATCCAGATGCCCTGGCTGCTGCCAGAGGCTGGGGGCAGGCGGGGAGCCAGCAGATGGAGACAGGGTGGCGGGAAAGGGAGAGGAGGCTAAGAGGAGCTGGGGGCCGGCAGGGACAGGGGTCTGGGTGGGGTCCACAGGACCAGGAGATACTCAGGGATCGGGATGGGGCCGGTGGGACTCAGTGAGGTGAGAGCTGAGCCGGGGCAGCAGGAATTCAGGAAGGCGGAGGAAGTAACCAACTATGTGATATGGGGTTTGGAAGGTGCTAAGAGAGAGGGATTCTGGATGGACAGGAAGCAGGAGGAGGAAGGCAGTGGGGAAGTGGCCATGGGGACAGGAGAAGGGCAGATGGGGGAAGGGCCCTGGGCAAGGGCTACAGACCCCTCCCAAGAAGAGCAGAACAGGGACCTCCATGCGTCTGTGTGTCTGTCTGGGTGTCTAGTGGCTCACCCCAGGCTCCCCAGCCACATCTACCCTGCTCAGCCCCACCCTACCTCGGTGATCCCTGTGGCTAAGGGTCCATGGCCTCCAAGACTTCCTCCCACCAGCCACAGCACCCGTCTGAGCTCCACAAGTTCTGAGACCCCAGAGCTATCTCCTCCTCCCCCTTCCCCTTCCCCGCCCCTCTGAGTGCTGGATCTCAGCCACTCATAGCCAAGCCCCCTCCCCCCTCCTGCCTTCAACCCCATTCTCCTCCCTCCTCCCTTCCCACCCTCTTAACCTCCTCCCAGCCGAGGCCCTGGGAAGGGAAGAGGCCTACCCCCAGTCTGGAAAGGAAGCCACAGGCACAGCCAGGACCAGTGAGAGGGAGAGGAGGGCTGCTTACGTCCCTATCAGTGACCGATTCCCCACGTTCTCACAGAGCCAGACACAGGCACACGCACGCGTGTGCTCACCAGGCGCAGTCCACAAAAAAGATACTGCCCTTGAACAAACACGAGCACAATCAAATGAAAAATCAGATACTCTTTTCCCTCCCCAGCAAAGACTTCCTGAGGGCACAGCCAAGGGGGGATGTGTTTGAGGGGAAGGGAGGCCCAGGTTGGGGGATATAAAGAAAAGCCAAAGAGTCCAGCTTCCCCTCCCCTGGATGTTCCAGCCATTTCTCACCTCCCCCCCCCCACTCCTTGGGCCTCAGCACCAGGAAATGCCTTCGGTCCCTTGGTGGCAGATACACAAGACCCACGCTTACCCTCAGACACACACTCTCAGATACAGCCACTCACAGCCACACCAATGTGCTCAGATATCCTCTCTCAGGCTCAGGCTCACTTACGTGTACACATGCCCACACCCTCACACAGATACACACGTCTCGCTCTCCCTCCCACAGTCACATGCACACACTTAGCATTCTGCCTCTGGAATGGGGTCACCGAATTTCCTAAAGGCAACGTCTCGTCCTTCTCCTCGTAGTGCAGGCCCCGTCTCCCAGGGAGCTCTTATCACGGCAGATCCCGCATCTCATCGCTGTTACAGGGCAGCAGGTAAGAGAGGAGGGTGAACAGGAAAGTCAGGCCTAGAAGTGCTGAGAGAGACAGAGATGAAAGAACCGGAGAGGCAGAGTTATAACACAGATACGCAGATCCCCGAGGAGACAAACCCGTGAAGAGAGGCAGAGAGCCATAGGGGAGACAGGAATGGGGGAGAAAAAGAAATATAAGGAGCCCGGCCGGCATGGCCCCGTGGATGAGCTCGTCCTGTGAACCAGGAGGTCACAGTTCAATTCCCGGGCGGGTGGCAGCCTCCATCCCCCGTGTGGGCCATGCCGGAGGCAGCCAGTCAATGATTCTCTCTCACCATTGATGTTTCTCTCTCTCCCTCTCCCTTCCTCTCTGAAATAAATACAAGTATATTTTAAAGAAATAACTATAAGGAAACTGAGTCAGACAGAGAAACAGGAAATAAAGAAGCAATACACCAGCGACAGGGGCTCTTGAGCACAGAAAGCGGGGGGAGCCACATGTGCTGGGAACGGTTCTGTCTACGGGGACATCGGTTGGAAGGTCGGTCCCCTCGTGTTTATACTGATCCCCCAAATATAAACACAGCTCGGCTCCCGCACAGCCTAACACTTAGGACACAGGACACACACACAGAGGTCAAGCCTCGCTCTTGCTCTAAGACTCCTTGCTCGGCGGTTCCTGAAGTCACACTCTGGCTTACACAAACCCAGCCACGCACTCTTACCCTGGCCGAACAGACCTCAAAAGATTCCAGTCTTGCTGTTCCCGAAACACACTCCCCGGGTGGTCACAGGACCTCTCACAAACACACGACCCAGTCCCTCACCACAAACTTCACATTGACACCTATACCATAATCCCTGGCGCAGCCACATGCACCATGACAGTTACATTTGCTGGCACTTGCAGCAAGTGACACACACAGCTGCGGAGCTTCTCACAGGCATCATCGCACACGGACACACACATACACACACCCACACGCACGCACGCACACTGACAGTCCCTCAGCCACACTGAGCCCTTCATCGCACTTCACCCTGCCCGGCCCTCTGCTGGCCGGGCTCCCCGTGCACGCCCACGGCCCCCCCAGGCCTCACCTTCCGCGGCCGCCGCCGCCAGCGCCCTCCGCCCTCGCCCTCTGCCCCGGCCTCTGCTCCCCGCAGCCCCGGGGCCCGCTATGGGGTGGCTCCGCCCAGGCACCAATGGAAGGAGAGGGGTGAAATAGGGGGGCGGTGTCCGGCCCATTGGAGCCTCCAACTGCCAATCACCTCCTCCCCCACCTCTGCCGGACACTTCCTGTCCCGTCCCCGGCCGAGCAGGCTGCTAGGGGACAGAGGCCCCGGCTGGATCCCTGGGTCCTTGCCTGAAGGCTTCTCCTCCAGGAACGGCAAGACTGAAATCTTCCAGGTCCCTCCCCCTCCCTACTGTTTGCAAACAAAGCCTCAAGTTCGGTGGCTCAGGAGCCGCCGGACAGGTGACTGGACAAGCTTGAAGGTGCCCCTGACTGCAAATAAGGAAGAATGGTGTAGGGCTGAGGTTCTCAAACGTTGCTGAACATTGCGGTTTTAAAACTGCAAGCCACACTCCAAACCAATTAAACCAGAAGCTCTGGAGGCTGGACCGAGGCATCAATTCTTATTTAAAACTCCCCCAGATGATTCCAAAATGCAGCCCAAAGGTGAAGGGAAGGGTTCTGTTTACAACTTCTGCAGGGTGTAGGCGAGTGCCTGAAGGAACAGGGTTCTGATCCACGATCCAGGCACCAGGGGCTTAAAGAAAGTGTGTGCCATGTCTGTCTGCGCTCCTTCCAGGCCAGGGCAGCACTCCAAGTCCCAGACCCTGCCCCTCGGGGTCTCCAGAAAGAACCTTGGGCTGGAAGGCAGGGTTCTCCTGGGCCAGATCACTGCTGTGTGGCCTTGGCATGATGTCCCCTCCCAGAGACTCAATTCCCTTAAGAATGGAAACAAAGAGCATTCTGGCCACCCTGGCATTGTTCACAAGCCCTGTCCTCACCTGAAAGTGGGAAGGACACTTGGTGGCATCAGGTCTCCTGGGTTGTGTGGCCTATGGTTCCCACACAGTAACAGTCTTCCCGAGGAAACAGGTCCAGAAGGGCGGGGCCAGACTCCACAGACCATCCCACCCTTCCAGGCCTTGGGGCTCCTAACTGCTGCAGCCTCACTCCTGCCATAGCTGTTTATTACTCTGAGCAGCAATGAGGCACCGGGAGGGACCACAGAGGTGTGTAGAGCCTGCGCATACATGCTGCACATGGAAGTCTGGAAAAGCCAAGGACACAAAGCCACGTACACGCTCCCTCCCAGCCCCTTTAGCCCCTGTGGGCTGGAGCAGAGCCAAGCTGCAGCCACTCCACAAAGCCAGGGTTCTGGCCAGCAGCCCATGGTCTGGCCGCTGACCACTGGGACCGGGATCCTCTCCCTCACTCCCCACCAAACACCCAGGGCCCAGGCTTGGTGAGCTGACGCCCTAGGCGCGGTGGTGAGGGGGCCTCTGGCCTTCTCCAAAACCTCAGCCAGACAAGTACATGGGAGTTTTAATTGTTTTCTTAAATTGGGATGCTTTTGTTACTCCAGGAGTGAGAGAATCCATTAGACAAGACATAACCCTGAGTGTTAATTTTGTTCAGAGATGGAGAGGAGATGATTTTTATCCTTAAGTTTTTCACATCCATGGACAAAGGAAAGTCGTGGTTGAGGCTGTGCCTTCAGCCGTTAACCCAGAACTCCCGAGGGTTAGCGTTCACACGCCTCTGGCATTAGAATATGTGATTATAAAGTTTGAGAAGTTTTATTGATCCCACATCTGCCCAAACCATAGGCTCTGGTTCTCTCGGGCAGAAAGGCCCTGAGGTCAGCGTGGTCAGGCGATGGCTGCTGTCTCCCTGTCCTTCGGTCTCAGGCGGTAATGAACTTCAGGAAGTGCCCTCAGTCTCTCCGCAGCCTGAAAGGGGAAGAGGGAGGGTAAGAGCTGCCCAGAAGGGTGGTATGGAGCTCTGTGTGCCTAAGAGACATGAAGGAGGGCTTGTAGGACCAGGAGGCTGGGGTAAGGATTGCTGGAATAACCAGAGGAGGAAGGAGTTGAGCGGCTCCTGAGGCCTTCGGAATGCCTAGGTTATAGGGATTCTCGAGGTCCCGATTGCTGGGATCTTTTGAGGAAATGGGAGAGAAGAGGGGACCTAGGATGCTCCAAGTCTTGACCTGCTCAGGAGTGAGGTCCCTCTGAGCCTGGGCAAGCATTTCGTAGCCAACCATGAATTTCCGCACAGTGGCAGAGCGCAGGAGAGGAGGGTAGTAGTGAGCGTGCAGCTGCCAGTGGTCCCAGTTGGCTCCGGCCTCTGGTCCTGTGGGAGCCCCTGAGAGGAAGAAGGCAGAGACGGTAGAAACGGCCCTTTCTTAGTTCTACAGCCTAGCCATGATCCCCCGACCCCATAACTAGGCAAGGTTCTCGAAAACTATATTTCCCAGCATACTCTCTGGCAGAGAATGCTGGGAAATATAGTTTTCGAGAACCTTGCCTAGTTATGGGGTCGGGGGCATTGGAAAGCTTACCAAGCCCCTGCTTCACCCTCAGGCCTAGCAGCCCTGCTCCGGACATTTCCCCCAGCAAGAGCTCAAAGGCCTGCTAGGGGTTGCAGTCCCCCAGGCTGGGCCACGGTAGCCCCCAGATGATGTTAGGGCTAGATATGGGTGCTCAGAAAGCCTCACCGTGCCAGCCCATGGAGTAGGGAAAGGATGTCTCAAACAGGTTGTCGTACTTGGTCAAGAGCTTCTTCATGATGGAGGCTAGATCTGGAAGCAAAGCCTGACTCTCAGCCTGCGGCCTGGATGTTGGCCCTACCAGAGCAACCCCCCATCCAGAGCCTGGCCCCACCCTCCCCGCAGCGAGGAGGCTCACCATCGCGCTCCGCCGGGGTCAGCTCCGGCAGCCGCCGCACATGCCGGCGGGGGAGCAGCAGTGTTTGGAAGGGCCACACCGCCCAGAAGGGGACCAGCACTAACCAGTGCTCACTGGTTAGGACCAGACGCTCCTGAGCAAACCAGAGGTCATCAGGCGGGTGTTGGTGGTCAGCAAACAGGCAAGGGAAGCAGAAGGGAAAAAAATGTACTCAGAGTCTTACAGTTTCCCACCACCCTGGTCTAAGACACCACCACCTTTCGTTGATTACTGCTATGGCCTCCTGACAAGTCTCTCTTCTATTTTCCTTCGACCCTTCTCCTTCACACACCTGTCTCTTTCGAGGTGTGAGGTTAGAGACTCCTGGGGACAGGGCCTAGCTTTCTCCCACCTTCCTGAGCAGCTCCTGGCGGCCATATTCCATTAACAGGGGCTCTCCGTGCTGACTCCGATAGGCTTGCTGAGATTTCTCCTCGCGCTGGGCAATATCTGGCAGGAAGCTGCTGGCCCACACCTGTCAGAGAGTAGGAGAGAGAGAGAAAAAAAAGGCAGGTCCCTCATCCCCAATCCTCCGCATCACTAGCATATTTCCTCTGTCCCATTTCTTACTTCAGTTCCCCTCCCCACAGTGCTGGCTTAGACTCAGCCTAGAAATGTACTGGAGCCCCCGACACACCTACCTGGCAGTGAGGGTGAGGGTTGGAACAACCCATCATGGCTCCTTTGTTTTCAAAGATCTATTGAGTAGGAGGGTATCGGTGGGGGTTAGGGAGTTTTAGCAGCCAAGAAGACTCCAAGTCAACCCTTCCAAACCACACCCTGTGGAAATAGGAATGCCAGTTCCCAGAACCAAAGCTGCACCACCCCCTCCCTGCTCATCTAGGGGAGGGGTCACCTCACAGACCTGTACCCAAGGGTACCGGGCACCCAGATCCTCTGTGACTGAGGCCCACACATCGATGACAGTCCGGATCTCAGGGATTGACATGAGTGGCAGTGTCACATCCGACCAAGGGTGGAAGCACAAGACCTTACTATGTAGTGCGGGAGGGAGGGATGACAGAAACATAGGGCTTGGATGTGCTAGGGGCAGCGTCCAACCCCAGCGCTCGGTCTCTGGGACATGGGTTGAAGGTTATAAAGAGAGGAAATCCACAGTTACCAAACGCCTCGAGCAGCCTCGGCTTGAAAAAGCGGGTGATCACTGGGTCCTGAGATAAAAGGGTATCATTCTCTGCAACAGAAGTCCCCCCACAAGGTCCAGCCTCCTTCCCTCCCCAAAAGCAGTAGAGCCAAGTTACCTGGAGCGGGGGCATCCGGCTGCAGAGCTGGAAAGTCATTGTCAAACAGGAAAGTGCTCTCGTACTGGGGATTCACCTGCAGACAAGGGTGAGCTAGAAGTAGTCACGGCCCCATACCACCAGTCACCTGGTGGGCTTCAATGACGGACAGGGTACAAGAGGGTGGGGAAGGCCCACTCTGGGGTCAAAAAGACCTGATGAGATATGACCCAGACCCCGAAGAAAGTTCACTGCCCTCTGGGTGAGGGGCAGCTCTGAGTGGGAGCACTTCCCCTGGCCCAGCCTGCAGAGCGAGGCTCTCAAGGCTTACCTCCCCGTTGGCCCGCGTGGCCCCCGGGCACAGAGGGTTGCGGGGGTCATGGCGGGGCACCGTCTCCGGGAGCGAGGGCTCCACTTGCCCCTGCCAGGGTCGCTTCATGCGGTGAGCTGACACCAGCACCCACTCGTCCTGCAGCGGGTTGTAGCGGATATGCTGATGCTCTGGGGGCCAAGAGACAAGATCAGTCAGCAAAGCTCTCTGTCCACCTCTCCAGTGGACCTCACCCCCACCCCCACCCCCGCAGGCCCAAGCTCGGAGGCACCTCCTGGGCCCATCTGGCTCAGGAACTAAAGGACCGGGCCTGGGCGTTCCCAGTGCACATAAGCGTGCAATCCCACAAGGGTGTGTCTCTTCGCCCTCGGGCCTGGCCGGGTGGGCGCGCCCGCCTGGGGGCACGGACGGCGAGGTCCAACGGACGGAGAGAGCTGGGCTCCGCGTCCCCGCGCGTCCCCACCGCCCCAGTTACCGCTCGCCCGGAAGGTGGCGGTGGTGTCCGCCTCTGCCGCCCGCTGGCGCCGCTCGGGATCCGGGGCAGGCCCCGCTCCGGGGCCCGCTCCGCCGCGCGACATGAGGCCAAGCTGGGGACCTCCTGGAGCGCCTGCCCCACGGCCGTGCACCCACCTAGGCCAGGCCAGCCCCGCCTCGCCCCCCGGTGATTGGCCGGTCGCCAGCACGTGACTGTCGGAGGGGCCGACCGGCCACCAAGGGGCGGGGCTCAGGGCGACCTAGCGCTATAGGGGGCGACTGGGATAATTCCGTGGCCAAAGTCAGTCCCTGGGGGAAAATCTCTGTGAAAACGGCTGCTTCCTGCAGATCCCTCGGCTCCGGACGCTTACGAGATTTCTTTACTGCTTTCAGGCATCGTTTGGCCATTCATTCATTCATTCAGCAAATAAGTACTGAGTCTCTACCCTGTGCCAGGCACCGAGGCTGCGTGTGAGGCCAAGGGATGTCCCTGTGTGCACCAGTCAGGCATGGCCTCTGCCCTCCTGGAGCTTATGATCTGGGGCAAAGGAAAGGTATAACCCTGGATCCGCAATCACCTCACTTACCTGCCCCGTGGCTGTGGTAGGGGAAGAGAGGCAATTGGAGGGATGGGAGAGGATGGTGCTGAAGCAGAACCCTGGCTTCAAATATCCCCTGGAGGAGTGTGCACTACACTAGAATCATCCCCGCCAGTCAGCAGAAGCAGGTTTGGGGAAATAGGACTAAGTAACTGTGAATGAAAAGGGGGCTATGCAACACGCCTAGCAAGTTCCAGGGTGGAAGGTGCACACGGCAGGCAGGCCTAGCAAGTTCAGTAACTGAAATTAAGTACACAGGATGGTTCTTTCACAAGCTCCTAACTGGACAGTTTCTAGCGGGTAGTCATGTCCCAGACCTACAGCTAAAGGTCAACCTTTTTACCTCGAGTGAGCTCTGTGCATTGTCCTTGTGCATCTAGGATAGCATAACTTTGAAATGTCAGAGTAATTTTCTTTCCCAGGTCCTTTGATGACACAACCACAGGCCTCAGAACACAAGACCATCAGACCCTTCATTGTTTTCTTGTTCCTGGAATACCATCTCTATGTACAGTGAATGTTAATTATTAGCTATAGTGTACCCACCAATGTACGAGAAGTATGTGTTCCTACGTTTTGCTGTTTATCCAGTCCTGGAGATTTCTCTGCTTTGCTTTCTCCTGCCTCTTTAATTTACCACCAATGGACTTAATGTAGCTCCTTTACATTTCACCTTTGATTCTAAATGCTTAAAAGGAACAGTGAAACTGCTATTCTATTGTGCATTTTCTCAACCCATTTAGATTTTACTTCCAGGCACATCCTAAAAATTTGGCTCAAATAAACTCTTACAAAACTTTTCTAAAGGTTTGGACATTCTTTTGTTGACATAACCATCTCTCTCTCTCTCTTTCTGTGTGTGTGTGTGTGTGTGTGTGTGTGTGTGTGTGTGTGTGTATTTCATGCACACATCAAAAGAAAAAGAAGTGGGTGAGGTAAGAGGTATAAGAAATCTGAACATGTAAGAAGACAGGACTATCAGTAATTCTAGCCACCGTCTGGGTGGGACCAACAGGCTTACACACCCCTTTCCCTTCTCCAACTTTTCCCTGAATCAAACCAATTGGTTAACATTAGAATACAATTCAAATTAATTCTTCACTGGCATTCTTTCTTTTTTTTAATAAATGTTTTTATTGATTTTTAGAGAAAGAGGAAGGGCATGTGCCCTAAGGGGAATCTAGCCAGCAACCTTTTGGTGCACAGGACATCATTAAAAGAGACTTCTAAATATTGGCTGAACATTTTTCCCATTTCATAGTGGGAAACAGGGGCTTCAAGGTCATCCAGGGGACAAGTAGCCAACCTAGAATTTGAACTCAAATTTCCAGTCTCTTCCCACTGCTCTAAAATGCCTCTGAGACTTAGGTGATACTCAAGATAGAAAAATAGTGGACTAGAATCTGGGCAGTAGCAGGAAGGCCTCTTCCCCCAAGCCAGATGTTTTGTGGCTCAGACACAAAAACTGGGTCATTGGTCATTTACCTAATCTCTGCCCTAGGGTCCTCTGACTGAAATCTGGAGAGGCCACCGGGTAGGGGGCAGGAAGCAGGGAGCTGAAAAATGGAGGTGGGAAGTACTTGTCCCACTGGCTACTACTGGTTGTGAGGGGAAGGGATAGAAGATCTGCTTTTCTACTCTCTCAGGTGTCTTTGTTTGAGTGATTGGATTTCAGAAGCAGCCCCATTTTTTCAAGAACACAGCGTTTCAGTGACACTCCCAGGATCATGCCAAGTCACTCCTGACCCCTTCAGAAACATCTCTTCAGGACTATCACCAAACCTCTCCTTTCTCTGCGTCTCTCCGAGGTCAGGTTTTGGGGGATGTGGAGAATGGCTGAGATGGGGCCCATCCAGCCACTTCCCTTCAAGATCCCAGAGGTGTGATCTCCTCAATGATATTTAGGGAAGCTGTGTGTGATGCCTGATTACTTAATCCCCTTCCTTAGACCCTCTTAAGGCTATGGGGTGGAAGAAACTTTCCTCTATCCTTCTAGGTTCTTCAGGCTGACTTAATAAAGATTAACAAGAGAAAACAATGGAATTTATTATAATTACATATGTGCATATAACATGAGAGAGTCAGAGATCCCACATGCATGAGAGGTTCAGAGACAGAAAGTTAAAATGAAGTATACATGGCATTCTGAGCTAAGGATGAGGTAAGGCATGTTGGGGCTTCAAAGGGGAGGAAGGTCATTGCAGGATAGAGCAGATGTTCAGTAATTAGAAGTTTGCCCTGGCATATAGATAGGTCATGAAAAGTTATTTCTGGTAATAACTCTTATTATGAGCAAGGCCCCAAATTCAAATTCTTTAAGAAAGAGGTAATAGTTTTTCGTGAGCCCACAGGGTCTTGATTACCTTCAGTTCATAATAATTCACGTGTCAAAGTGACATGCCTTGGGGAGTCCTGTTCTGAACCCTTTCCAGGCCAAAGGACAAATGGGTGTTTGCTTTTCTGTGTGTTAATATTGTGTGTAGGAAAAGCTTTCTGAAAGACCAGGTAGGGGAACTGCAGGCCTAGATAGTCCCAGAAGGCTTTACGTAGAATTGAGGGGCAGAAAGCAGATTTTTGGGCTAGTCCTTATTATTCGAAGTTCTTAGAGAATGGTCAGCTCAGAAGTATCACAGAAACTAGAGTCAATAATAAATAAATAAATAAATAAATAAATAAATAAATAATAAAAAACACATCTCATCAATTCTGCATTCTTCTTTAGATAATCACTTCATTATCTTTCCCTTCTTGGCCAAGTTTCTCAAAAAATAGTGCAACTTCCCAGCCTCTACCCTTATCTGCATAGTATACTGTAACATGTCTTTTGCCCTGTATTAATCAGGGTAAGAAATCTTAGTTGCTATAACAAAGAATACCCAAGCTTAGCACCATACATAGTCCATGGTGGGGAGAAAGAGAGCTCTATCCCATGCAGCATTCAGAATTCTCCACTAACTAGTTAATTCAATATAACTATGAAACTAGGTCAGGGAAGAGAGAGAATGTAAGAAATTTCATGGAAGATCTTAGGAGCCAGAACTGGAAGTGGCATACATCATTTCTGCTTATACTTCATTAGCCAGAACATAATCGCATGGCCTTACTTAATTACAGAGTAGACTATGGAATGTAATCTGGCTGCATACCCTACTGAGAAAGCTAACCACCATTTCTCATCATTGTATTGGATGGAATACTCAATTATATTTGACTGTGTTAACCTTCATTTCATTACTCTCATGTTTGAGGCCATGTTCCTCCAGTTACCTTCTCCTTTGTTTTATTTATATAACTAACACATATGACACCACATGCCAGATATTAACTGCTTTAAAAATATTAATTCACTTAATATTCATCACAATGAAAGTATGTACTATGAGATAGGTACTTTTTATTCATCCCATTTTACTGACAGGAGAACCAAGTCACAAGAGCTTAAGTAACTTGCCCAATATCACACAATTAGTAGGTGGCAGAAGCCAGGCTTTTAATCCAGGCAACTGAGTCCAGAGATTTTTTTCCTTGACATTGCACAATGCTGCCCTTTTCTCTCTTTTGTTTCTCTCCTGTTTTATTACTCCCCTACCATAACCGTTGTTGGTTTACAGGGACTCCTCTCACATTTTGTGCTTCAGAATAATTCATTGTAGGCCCCTGGAGGCCCAGGCTTTTCCTCGTTGCCTTTGCTCTTGGAGTGGGTCTCAGTGTCTGGAATGCCCTTCCCATTTCTCTCTCTCATATTCTCTCTCTCTCTCTCTCTCTCTCTCTCTCTCTCTCTCTATTCCATATATATATGGAAGGGAGAGGGAGGGAGAGATAGAAACTCAAAAATGAGAGAGAATCATTGATTGACTGCAACCCGGGCGACTTGGAATCGAACTGTGACCTCCTAGTTCATAGGTGGACACTCAACTACTGAGCCGCGCTGGCCAAGCCATTCCCAACTTTCTTTTCCTTTTTATTTTCGGCATTTAAATTTTCGTATCATATTTTTTTAATTGTTTGAGGTATTACAAATAGTACATATGTCTCTTCCCCCGCCCCACTGACCTCCCCCTCCCCAGCCTCCCATATCCCTCCACCCACGCACTTGCCCCCTCGCCCCCAGTGTCTTGCGTCTGCAGGTTGTGCCTATATGCGTGCCTACAAGTCCTTCGGTTCCTCCCTCTCTTTCTTAAAGACCCCGCTCAGATGCCACCGCCTCCAGGAAGTCTCCCGTGACATTCCCGGGCTGAAGCGCCCCCTCGCGCCCTCTGCGCTGGCATTGGGGCCTTCAGCATTGGGAGTCCCGGAAGGCTCCTGCTTCCGGGCTCGCCGGGCTCACTAGTCAGTGAGTCCAGGGGGGCTCCCTTTCTGGGTCTCACCGCCTCCAGCCCCTAACCTACGTGGGATGGCGCCACGAGAGGTTCTACCTAGATATCCCACTGCAGGCAGCTGGGAGGGCCCGGTTCCGCCCCATTTGCAATGTGCCCGCGGCGCCGCCCCACGCCCGGGTGCTCCCCGCCCCCCGTAAGAAAGTGGTACAGCCCCAGGGGGCGGGGCCCGGCCGCCCGGGCAGCTCCGATTGGCCAGGGAGAGCCGTACCACGGCGGTGGCGGGGGAACAGGACGCGGACGGCGGGCGGTGGGCAGCCAGGCGGTGGGAAGCGGAGCCTCGGGCCCAGCTGGCTTCTGCGCCGCCGAGTGGTGCCCGCTGCCCGCAGGAATGCAGTGGGCCGTGGGCCGGCGGTGGGTGTGGGCCGCGCTGCTCCTGGCCGCCGCGGCCGTGCTGGCCCAGGCGGTGTGGCTGTGGCTGGGCACGCAGAGTTTCGTCTTCCAGCACGAAGAGATCGCGCAGCTGGCGCGGCAGTACGCGGGTGAGCCGGCGGGCGGGCGGGCGGGCGATCGGGCGGGCTGATGCACGGATGGAGGGCTGGGAAGGCCCGGTCCGAGCCGGGGATCCCGGGGACGTCGTCTCCTAGTTCGGGACCGGTGCTGGCTCTTAACGGTGTGACTCTTCTGCCCCCGCCAGGGTTGGACCACGAGCTGGCCTTCTCTCGGCTCATCGTGGAGCTGCGGCGGCTGCACCCAGGCCACGTGCTGCCCGACGAGGAGCTGCAGTGGGTGTTCGTGAACGCGGGTGGCTGGATGGGCGCCATGTGCCTCCTGCATGCCTCGCTGTCCGAGTACGTGCTGCTGTTCGGCACCGCCCTCGGCTCTAGGGGCCACTCTGGTCAGTGCTGGCGGCGGCGGGCCGGACTGGGAGGCTGAGGGTGTACAAGGGCCCATGGACCCTCATTTCTGTTGGGCCAACCCGTGCAATGGCGTGGGATACTCTGATATTTGGTGTGTCCATCTGATTGTCCCGCAGGACGCTACTGGGCTGAGATCTCCGACACCATAATCTCGGGCACCTTCCACCAGTGGAGAGAGGGCACGACCAAGAGTGAGGTCTTCTACCCAGGTGGGTAGGGCGGTTCTGTCAGAGAAGTGGCTTCCTTCCTTGTGGTATGCTCCTAGTTGGGGGAGGGAGCCATGGCATGCGGAAGGGGTGCATTGAGGGACCCTCTCCCTTGTCCCCCTATCCTCTAGATAAGCCACAGGTAGTTAGTTGAGGCTGGACAGAGGGCCCCGGTTGCTTTCCTCTGTCAAAAGGAAACAAAACAAAAGGGTTTCTTGTTAAATGTTAATCTGATTTTTATCTGCTAAGGCACTCATCATATTCCAGCAATTGTTGGGGAAACAGTTGGATGATCAGAAATGTTTTCTTATCTCCAAAAGCAAGGCAGATTGTTGTCTTCCCTTTTTTTTTTTTTTTTTTTTTTTAAACATATTTTATTGATATTTTACAGAGAGGAGGAAGGGAGAGAGATAGAGAGCCAGAAATGTCGATGAGAGAGAAACATCGACCAGCTGCCTCTTGCACACCCCCTACCGGGGATGTGCCCACAGCCAATGCACATGCCCTTGACCGGAATCGAACCCGGGACCTTTCAGTCCACAGACCGACGCTCTACCACTGAGCCAAACCGGTTTTGGCTGTCTTCCCCCTTTTTTTTTTCTTTTTTTTTTTTTAATCCTCACCCAAGGATATGTTTTTATTGATTTTATAGAGAGAGGAAGGGAAAGAGATGAGAAACATCCATTGACTGCCCCCCATACCCACCCCGACTGGGGATCGAACCCACGAACTTTTGGTATACAAGACAACACTCCAACCAACTGAGCCACACTGGCCACACTGTCTTCCTTTTTTTATAATAGTGAAATATTTTACACAAAACGTAGAGGTATGGATTTCCAACTAAGTTTGAGGTTGTGTTAAAGCACAGCAGGCATTGTTATTGAACAGTTACATTTCTCAAAAAGCCTCACAAATCTTTTTTTTTTTTTTAATATATTTTATTGACTTTTGTACAGAGAGGAAGGGAGAGAGACAAGAGAGTTAGAAACATCAATGAGAGAGAGTCATCGATCAGCTGCTTCTTGCACGCCCCCTACTAGGAATATGCCCGCAACCAAGGCACATGCCCTTGACCGGAATCGAACCCGGGGCCCTTCAGTCCCCAAGCCGATGCTCTATCCATTGAGCCAAACCGGTCCCGGCAAGCCTCACAAATCTTATAACCACCCCTCTGTATCTAACTGGCCCAAATTTAGCTAAATTTCTGCTTGACATGACTGAGGCTTGGGAATGACCCCTGTACAGTGGCCCACAGTCAGTAGATGCTCCTCCTTGGCTTCCTTCAAGAGAGGATATGAGCCAGGTGAAGCCACAGAGGAGAATTTAGGAGTCGCCATCTTGGCCTCTTACCCCTCCAGATAGGGGACTTGGCCAATGAGGTCAGACTTCTTCCTTTCCTTAAACTCTCCTTACCATTCGATAGCCCATGGGCCAGGGAGGGGGCAACCATGGAAGGACAGGGCTGGGCTCCTCACGTGGGTGCTCCCTATCCCCCAGGGGAGACAGTGGTGCACGGGCCTGGAGAGGCAACAGCTGTGGAGTGGGGGCCAAACACATGGATGGTGGAGTATGGCCGGGGAGTCATCCCATCTACCTTGACCTTCGCGCTGGCGGACACCGTCTTCAGCACCCAGGACTTCCTCACCCTCTTCTACACCCTTCGCGCCTATGCCCGGGGACTCCGGCTTGAGCTCACTACCTACCTCTTCGGCCAGGACCCCTGAGTAGCCGGGCCTGAAGGAGGACCTGTGGGTGGACAGGAGCGGGCAGGCCCGCACACACCCACTTGCTGGAGCCCATGTGAAAAAATGGACGTACAATATATGTAGAGTTCCTGGTATCAAGTAGGGACATACATGCTTATACCACCGAACACAGGGACTTATGGGAACATATGGGACATACATTCAGATCATGAATCCCCATGTATACCAGGGGGTCCAGTCATGTTCAAACATAACACAAGCTTGACTCATTAACTCAGGCCTTTCTAGAGCTTCCCTTCGCCCAGTCAGAGCTCTGGAGTTAGGGCTGGTGGGGTATTATACTCTGCCAGGATTTTACCCCTCAACCCAGCAGCAGTTGGGGAAAGGATGAGGAAAGAGAGGAGTTGCCTTTGGAGGTCCCCTTCACCTGCAGCTACCATGCGCTTTCCCTTGATCTCCCTGTCCTCACCATATGCCTTACCCCTCCTCTGTTCCCCTGCTATGCAAGTTCCCTCATGGCCTGTCCTCCATCCTCAGCAACCACGTCAGTTGGGGAGCCAGGAGAATGGAGGATACTGAGGTCAGTCTCTTCTATCCTGAAAGACCACTATTCTTCTCTCAGGAGTATGGTGGGGTGGCTGATCTCAGCCTAGGGCCCACCCTGATGAGAAATCCTGAAGATGTGGGCCTAGACCCAAGGGATCATCCCTGGCCTAGAGAGAGGCCTTTGTGTGTGTGTGCGCACACACACACACATATACACACACACCCATCACAGCTTTCAGACACTACTGGCATTTTCTGTCCATCTGACTGTTAATAAAGACTTGTTGAACAGTTCCATTTCTTTGTGTATCTGAGCAGCAAGAAAACATGCTGTATGATTGAGTTTGTCAGACACCGGCTGGCTTTATACTTTAGTGTGCACACAATCACCCAGGAGGCTCATTGACTACAGATTACTGTGCCCAAGTCCCCAGAGGTTCAATTCTGGGTTGAGGCCTTGAGATCACTATGTTTAATAAGATCCTTTCCACAAGTTTTGAATGTGACAGTTTAAGAAATTCGGGGCTGGATGAGGTATGTATCTTGGTCTTCTGCCATTGCAGGCCTGGAAGCAGCCTTGGGAGTCCTGCCCTGTATAGCCACGAGATGGCAGTGTGTACCCACTTTTGAGGAGAGCTGAAGGAGAACTGGTCATTCTCCATTTGCTTGCCTCTGTTTCCAGACAGAAGTTTCTCTCCAGTCTGCCTTCTCCGGGACCCCTCTCCTGTGGGGAGGCTCCTGGGGGTGGAGTGCAGGTGGTATCTGAGGCATTGTGGGAAAGAGGTGCCTACGGTGTTCTCCCAGAGACCTTGCACTTGCCCTCTTAAATTTTGTGCTCTGGATGCATCACTTGTCCCATCCTGCTGGCCCTGCTCTGAGGATGAGTAAGGCCCAGATCACTCTTAGAATTCCTGGTATATTGAAAAATGAAAGGAACATGATTACAAAAATTCTATATTCTAGAAAGTTGACATTCTAATGAACAAAAATACAGGAGACTACATGTATAACCACTTGTAAGCAACACCAAGTCTAAATTTGTGGATCTGAATGAATATAAGGTTCAGGCAAGATTGCTATCCTGACATCTGTCATGGCCACCACCATCTTGGCCATGACAGAGCCTGGCTGAGGCCTCTCCATAGATCATGGGTTGTAAAGTCAAGCATTCAAGGACTTCTCCTGCCCTATAACCCAGCTCTGCCTCTAGGCTCATCCCACATCTATCAGGGATGTCCAGCTCCCCTGTCATCCCTTCCTCCCACCTGGACTAGGTTCCCAGGGTCCTCCTCATCTCTGTTAAGCCCAGAATTGTTTCTTCCCAACTTTCATTTGAGACAATCACTCTTAAAACACTTGTTTTCCAGTACATTTCTCCTTTACTAGATCCTAACCTGTCCAACCTCAGTTGACTTGCCAGGACTTAATCCTCAAAGTTCTGTCTACACCCCTCTCTGGTGCTCTCAACCATTTTAAGACTTTAAATAGCATCTTTGTCATCCCTCCTCCCAGTTCTATTGAGCTATAATTGACATATAATGTTAGTTTAAGGTGTACAACATAGTGATAGACATATACATTGTGAAATGGTTACCACAATAAGTTTAGCGCCTCACAATGACATTTCTTTTTAAATGAGAACTTTCAAGATCTACACTCATAGCAATTTTCAAATATATAGTGTAGTATTAACTATAGTTACTATGTTGTACATTACATCTCCAGGACTTACTTCTCTTACAACTGGAAGTTTGTGCCTTTGGACCACATTCAACCATATCATCCATCTCGGGCCTCTGGCATCTACCAATCTGTTGTTTCTAAGAGTTTGTTCCTTTGAGATTCCACATATAAGTGAGAACATGGAGTATTTGTCTTCCTGGCTTATTTCACAGCATAATGTCCTCAAGGATGAATGGATAAAGAAAATGTGATCTATATAATGGAATATCATTCAGCCATAAAAAAGAAATCCTGTCATTTGCAACATCATGGAAGGTCCTTGAGGACCATCTATATGATTCAACTCCTAATTTCTTGTCTCAGCCTAAACCTCTTCTCTGACCTCCAGATATCAGCTTCACATATCTGACTGCCAACATCTCCACCTGGTTGTCTAATTGGCATCTTAAACTTAAAATGTCCAACATAAAGTTATTTCTCCCAATCCTGTACCTCCTACAGGCTTTACTGTCTCAGTTAAGTACGGTATACCTCCATTTACCTACCTGCCCAGGCCAAAAGCCAGGGAGTCATCTTGAATACCTCTTATTCTCTCACATCTCATATTCAGGACATCAACAGAGCATGTCAGCTTTATCTTTGAAACATTCAGAATCTAACCACCCTTGTTCAAGCTGTCAACATCTTGCATGGATGACTGCAATGGCCTAATTGATCCGCAGGCTTGCGTGCTGTGGGTGGGGTTCACCACGCAGCAACTAGACTCAGCCTTCTACTCTGTGCAGACATTTCTACCGGCTTCCCACTCATTCAGTGTTTTTACTGCCTCCAGGAACCTACTCCAAGGTCCATGTTACCACTGACCATATATCTCACCACTCACCTCAGCCACTCTTGCTTTTTTTACTTTTATTTATTTATTTTTAAATATATATATATATTTTTAATATATTTTATTATTTTGTACAGAGAGGAAGGGAGAGAGATAGAGAGTTAGAAACATCGATGAGAGAGAGAGTCATCGACCAGCTGCCTCTTGCACACCCCCTACTGGGGTTATGCCCGCAACCAAGGTACATGCCCTTAACCGGAATCGAACCCGGGACCTTTCAGTCCCCAAGCCGACGCTCTATCCATTGAGCCAAACCGGTCTCGGCTACTTTTATTTTTTGATACAACAAGCAAACTTCCACCATTGGATAGTTGCATCTACTATTCTGTCTGTAGTGTTCTCTAGGTATCTTCCTGGCTCTTTTCTTCCACGCCTTCCCAATTCAGTTCCTGCTCTGAGTCCTTCCTCTGTGAATTAGAAGCCCTCCTATGGTGGTTTTTAAATACCTCCGTAGCCTGGCCAGTGTAGTTCAGTGGTTGAGCATTGACCTGTGAACCAGGAGGTCACGGTTCAATTCCTGGTCAGGGCACATGCCCAGGTTGCAGGCTTGATCCCCAGTGTGGGGCAAGCAAAAGACAGCCAATCAGTGATTCTCATCACTAATGTTTCTATCTCTCCCTCTCCCTTCCTCTCTGAAATAAATAAATAAATAAATAAATAAATAAATAAATAAATAAATAAAAATTTAAATATCCCCATAAGTATTTTTATATTTCTCCCTTTAAGAGATGAATCCTAATTCCCTTACCCTTGAATGTGAGCTGCACATAGTTATGTTGTTGGCTTTTTTTTACTATATAAAAATCTCTACCCTGTGCCCTCTAGTCCCCAGGAAACTCCCAAGCCATGTTTGTCTGCCTCTGCACATTCAGCGGTTCTCTACTCTGGGCTCAGCCTTAGAGAGGGCTTGACTGCCCCAGAACTCACCACATAAAGCAATGTAGAGGAGGGCATAAATACTGGCCGGATCACCAAGGCTTCCTGGTGGGGAGGGTGTCTGACACTCAAGGTCTGAAATCCGAGTGGGAGGACCCTGGAGTGAGCCAAAGGTGTGAGCAGGATTGAGCCTCAGGGTGGCCAAAGGTGGGCCAAAGAGAGCAAGGACTTAGGACCACAGTGGGATTCAGGCTGGGGACAAAGGTAGAGGAGGGAGATAGGAAGAGCGAGGGTCACCCTGGTCTGAGAGGAGAGGACTGGTTAGGGGGAGGGGAGAGTCACACCTGAATTTCTGCCTCTTGGGGAATCTTGGCCTGGGAGGAATCCTGCCTCACTGGGTATGAGGTCAGGGCGTGATCCTCTGTGCTGGGTTTGAGTTTGACATAGCAGTTTCACACCCGTGTCAGGGGTCATCTATACAGACATACGTTGTTCTCACACGACATCACCTCCAGGTGGCCCTCCTGCTTTTGTAGGGTGAGTCCCTTAGATACAGGAAGAAACTGGGATATGTATGAGGGTGCCAGAGAGGAATGGGGTCCACACTGCTCAGAGCAGGAATGGTGACCTGCCATCAGGACCCCCAAATAAGGAACAGCATCTGGGGGTAAGGGAGGGTAGGGTAGGCCTGAATCAGTGGGCAGAAGAGGTCTGGAGATACAGACTAGAGAGTCACACACATGAGAGAAGATGGCCAAAATGCTGATCACTGTTGAAATGTGTGATGAGTATCGTTCTTTTAGTGTATGAGCTTGAAGATGTCTGTAATAAAGCATCCAGAAGAGCTTTAAAAAAAGAAAGAAAGAAAAGAAAAAGAAAAAAGAAAAACAGCCAAGCCCGGCTGACTTGGCTCTGGTTGATCAGTGACCTATGAATCAGGAGGTTATGGTTCGATTCACATTCAGGGCACATGTCTGGGTTTCGGGCTTGATCCCCAGTGTTGGGTGTTCAGGAGGCAGCCAATCAATAATTCTCATCATTGACGTTTCTATCTCCCTTCCTCTCTGAATAAAAAATATATTTATAAGAAACCAGTGTGGCTGTGTATCTCCATGTAGTATGTGTACCTGCGTCAGGTATGGAATCAGTCAGTGCAGAGATGTCCCAGTATGTGTCCACCACCATAAGCACATATTGTGCAAACCGCAGCATCGGGCAGAGCACGGGGAGAAGTGTCAGTTCTGTCCAGGGCTTCCGCACCCGCCCCAACATCCTTTGGAGCGATGCCCCTCAGGAGCTCAGCCATCAGCGCTGTGGCGACCTGCAGTGTCCCGTTAACTCAGTATGTGAACCCGGGCAGCAGTGTGCCTGAACTTGGACGGGGTATGTTGGTGTGTGAGCACAGTTGCCTGTGTGTGAATGCCAGGCACTCACTGAGTGTGGGTGTCTGAGCGCCCTGGTCCCCAGTCCAATAGCCGTGGATTCCTCCTTCTCCTTTGCATAATCCCCACTTGCTCCCCAGCGCCCCCTCCCCCGAGGAACCTGGCTGTGCCGAAGGTGGGAGACACCTGTTGGGGGGCTGGGAGCGGCAGAGCCCATCGGGGCCTCTCTCCCGGCGTCCCCGCCCGCCCTGCCCGCTCCGGTCCCGCCCCCGCGGCCTCTCGGAGCAGAGCCGAGAGCGCACGGCGGCGGGAGCGCACGGCGGAGACCCAGCGCGGGAACCGAGCGGAGGCAGCGGCCGCCCCGGAGGCGGGCGCAGAGGGAGAGCCGTGGAGACGCCGGGGCCGGCGGGCCGCGCCAAGCTGGTGAGTGCAGCCGCGGGGTGCCAGAAGCCAGAAAGCGGGCATGGAGACTCCTCAGTCCCCTGCCCACCCTGTCCGGGACTCTGTGCCCGCCCGCCTCCCTCTATTACTGCACTTCCACTCCTTGGCTCTAGTTCTCTGTGTCTCTGCCGCGTCTGCTTTCCCTGTGCCGGTATGTCCCCTCCACGGTCTCGCCCTGTCTCTTTTTCATCTCTTCTGTCTCTGTCTCCTGCAGCGTCTGCCTTTCCCGTTCTCTCTCAAGCCCTGGCCCCCTAATTGTCTCTCTGTCTCTGTCTCTGTCTCTCTGGACTGCCTGTTACTCAGATCTTTGATATTTATCTCTTGCTCCCTTCTTTCTCTTATCTCCCCTGTCTCTCTACCTAGTGTCTGTATCTCTGCCAATCTCATCTCTGTCTCTCCATTCTTGAATCTGCCTGATATCTCCATCTTGGTCTCTCTCGGTCTCTGTCTCTTCCCACCTTTGTCTCTCCTTGTCTCTCTGTCCCATCTTGATTTCTATCACCTTGTCATAGTCTCCTTCCTCTCTCTCTCTCTCTCTCTCTCTCTCTCTCTCTCTCTCTCTCTCTCTCTCTCTCTCTCACTGTCCTCCATCTCTCTGTTTCTTGGTCCTTGTCATCCTCTTTGGCTCGCTCTCTGCCTGTCCTCCATCAACGCCCATTCCTGTCTCTTGGGCTTTGTCTCTCTTGCTCTGTCTACCCCTCTGTCAATCTCTGAGAAAGCCATCTGTCTGTCCTTTTCCTTATGGCCTCCCTGCACTTCCCGAACCCCCTCGTGTTGGGGGCTGCAGGGGCAGCAGGGCCCAGCCACCATAATGCCCTCTCCCACAGGCGGCCCTCTCTTCCGGGCCCCGCCTGGTGCCCCCGCCCTCGCCAGCGGGGGGACTGCGCCTGGAAGCTGTGATGGAAGCCCTGCAGAGGCAGCAGGCCGCCAGGCTGGCCCAGGGGATGAAGCCACTGGCCCCTCCACGCCCACCGCGCCCACCGCCACCACAGCCTCCCCTGCCTGGCCCTGGGATTCTGCAGGCCCTTGAGAGGGCCTCGGGGAAGGTTGGGGTTGAGAAAGAGGAGGATACCGGAGAGGATGAGGAGGGGGAGGAAGCTGGAGCCGAGAAAGAGGCAGCTGAGGAGAGTCCTCCAGGAACCCAGAGTCCCAGCTCACCTTCCAGCCAGCCCCCTGGACCTCATCCCCATGAGTGGACCTACGAGGAACAGTTCAAGCAGGTAGGAGCCCCTCATGTCAGTCCCCCCTCTCTTCCTCCTTTCTGAGCAAAAGCAGAGCCTGGCCCTGAGTAGCCTACCCACCCCTGCCCTCTAGAAAGACAGAGACCTGGAGAGAGACAGTGGGAAGATTGAAGACAGTGATAGGAAGGAAGAGATAGGCACCCGGAGCACAGAGAAATGGAAAGAAGTGCATAGGCAAATATTAAGAGGTGCCAGAGACACCCAGAAACATGGAGGCCGGCAGATGGGAGGCTTTTGGTGAGGTTAGAAGGAAAAGTGGGAGGGATGGAGGAGCCCTTAAGAATTCTGAGGGTGGGGAATCTGGGGACTAGGCATTCTAATGTCAGCAGCATCCTACTCTAACTCCTCACACATCAAGTCACAAGGTCATATTTTAGCGACCCGTGGGAGTGTCTTGGGCTGCCTACTTCTGGTTTTGGAAGTAGAATGGAGGTTGCCCCTTTTTTGGTATCCCCATCATCTCTTCTCTGTCACACTCCCCCCATCCCAATCCTCTGACTGCCTGAGTGCTATGAGTGACAGTTCCCAGCCTGACGGCCACTACAGGCGCAGTGTGACTAACGGGCCATTGTGTGCATTTGGGAGCCACAAGGTCTTACTCATAAGGCCGTATTTGAGTTCTTCCTCCCTACGGAATCCATCGGATGTTATTCTAAGGCACTGCTCCAGGCTGTCATCATGAAGCATTCGGCAGGGCTGTGACTCTAGGTGTGCTATTCTGGTGGTGGTACCTGTAGGGCAAGCACGTCAAACGCGTGGCCAGCGGGCTGCATGCCTCGTTTATTTAAGTGTAGGGTGTTAGTCTTGGGTATTTCCCAGAAATGTTCACCTGAGGTTGGTGGACTGGGGCATTAGTGTATAAAGGAGGTTACTCGGGACTGTGTTACTGTGGAGATATGGCTCTGGCGACTGTTCCTCCTGGGTATAAATCTGGGATTATTACTTAGAGAGGGTGTATGTTATTTGTGGGCATCCATCTAAGGGCTCAGTGCTTGTGGGAGCATAGATCTAAAGGTGAATCTCTGAGGTTTGTTACTAATGGGGGTTTTTACGGAGTTCTTATTGGGGGACGGAGTATTACCTATAGGTGTTACTCAGGGACCTTGCTCTGGGGTAAATGACTATTATTGTAGGGACTGCTCCTCCGGTGGTGTTTGAGAAGTGATATTGGAGGGGAGGCCGCAGGTGGCTGGGAATGTGTGCGGTTACCCCGTGGGCCTTTCAAGTCCTGACCCCACCAGTCCTGGGTGGTGCGGGGCCATTGCCTCTGTGGCAGCTTCTGTAGTGGGAAGGTCACTGTCCCTGGAAGGAGATCAGACTAGATGGTGGGGGCCCTATTTTTCCATCCAGGAGCTTCTGAGCATCCATTCTGCCTGAGGGATGGGTGAGAGTCATTGTCCCCAACTCTGGCAGAGATGTGACAGGCAAGAAGGCCTTGCAGGAATGACTAAGAGTGAATGAGATAGACCTGTCAGTTTCCTCAGTGGGGAACCCAGCTCCAGTTTGACTCCCTTCCTGCACTCTGTGCACTCCCGGGAGGACAAGCTGAGCCTCCTCAGCTTCCTCTCTTCCCCCGCTCCCCAGTTGGGCGTTGGACCTGCCCAGGGCACTAGCTGTAGAGGGCCCCTGCATCCAGGGAGAGAGGGCCCAATGTTTGGGAGTTCACATTTCAGATCCTTCTTACCCCTTCAGCTGGGGACTCTTATTCAAGGTACAACTTGGGTTGGGGTCACAGGGGGAGGGAGGTGAGCAGAGCTGGAAAATGACCTCAGTCCTCCCCCAGCTGTACGAGCTCGATGCAGACCCCAAGAGGAAGGAATTTCTGGATGACCTGTTTAGCTTCATGCAGAAGAGGGGTGAGTGTGGTGACGTAAGGTTTGAGGATGGGAGACCTCAGGGTTCAGTCCCTAGCCTGGGTCCTCCCTGCAGAGGCCTGAGCTGGGCAGCACCTATCCTCTGGACCCTCAATAGCGTCTTTAACCTCTGACCCTGCCCTCCTCCTCCACCCAGCAATTAATTAGTGGCCAGCCCACTGGCAGGTTAATGAGTGTGGGATCAATTGGGAAGGTGGGAAGGGGAACTGGTGGGGGGCTGGCCTGATGGGAGGGGGCTTCCCACGACTAGGGGGCTGGGGACGCCTTGGCCCTCTTTTGCTGACCCTTCTTCCAGCCTTGTCTCTCCCCAGTTTCCCCTTGCTCCGGGCAGGGAACACCCAGCGTGCTCTGCAGCAGAAAGGACTGGGGTTAGACTGAAGGAAGGACTTCTCCAGGGGTAGACAGAGAGCCGTGCATTGGGGCGGAGGAGGAGGAGGAGGAGGAGGAGGAGGAGGAGGAGGAGGAGGAGGAGGAGGAGGAGGAGGAGAAGGAGGAGGAGGAGGAGGAGGAGGAGGAGGAGGAGGAAAACGAGGAGGAAGAGTCAGGGTGGGTGGCCGTCCATCACTTAGGCTTCTCCCCAGATTCATGGGTCCAAAGACTGACTCATTATCTCTCTCTACAAAGCTAATTAACTCACTCCGAGCGTGGCCTGATAAGCTGCTAATTAACTGGCTGCACGGAGCCCCCCTTCCCAGCGCCGAAGCTGGCCAAAGTCCCTCAGGCCCCGCCCCAGCCAGGCCCCGCACCCCTGAGGGTTCACTCCTAAGGAGGGACCCTCATTGGGGCCCAGATCCTTTTGTCCCCCCGGGAGACCTAGTCACTGTGGTCCCCGTGTACCCTCCCTGCCCCTTTCTTGAGGTCTCCCCTCCACTGGAGGTTGGGGGGTAGGCTGGTCAGAGCAGACCCTCTCACTTCCCCCACCAGGCCCAGAGCCATGCCTCCCTCAAGTCTTCCCTCCCTCGAGTCCTGCCTCCCTCCGCTCCCTCTACAGGGGGAGGGGGTCTCCCGGGGCCGATAATTTCCCCCCATTAATCAGGCCGCAGCTAATTGTTCGGGTCCAAAGGCGGCAGCGGAAGGGGACGGGATCGGTAAGGAATTAACTGGGGCCCATCGCTCAGCGCAGACAGGCCCCTTTGTCAGGACTGGCCGGCGGGGGCTGGCGGCGCGGGCTGCGCAGTCGGCCAGCCGGGGCTGGGCCGCTTCTCCCTCCACCGCCCTCCGGCTTCGCCCCGCCGGCCGCTGCTCAGGGGAGTCCGGGTGGAGGTCCTTCTTACGGTCTACCCCAGGGGTCGGCAGACTGAAGCGCTGGGGGACCAAATCTAGCTTCCTGAGAGTTAAGAATGCCATTGTATTTTTAAATAGTGTAAAAACCTCACTTCCAGACGTGTGAAATTCGAATTTCAGAGTCCATAAACGACGTTTTATTGGAACAGAGCTGCCCAGCTGCTTTCAGCTACCATGCAGGGCGGAGTCGTTCTGGAGAGACCGTTCGGCCCATAAAGCCCGGACATCGCACATCCGGCTCTTTGCAGAAGTTTGCCTGCCCCGGGTCTAGCCTCCTGCGCCTCCTTGGGGCTCTCAGGGCTCTGCCTAGAATGCCACCTCCCTCCCACCTCCCCGTCCTTTCCTTTCTCCGTGCCCCGCCCTGTACCCCCACCTCGTCCCGGCAGATCACTGCTCCAGGCCCCCCTCCGCCCCCCAGGATGCCCGGAGGCTGGGTCCTCTCCTGCGGCCTGACTCTCCGCTCCCCACCCCGCATCAGGGACGCCGGTGAACCGCGTGCCCATCATGGCGAAGCAGGTGCTGGACCTGTACGCGCTGTTCCGCCTGGTGACGGCCAAAGGCGGCCTGGTGGAGGTCATCAACCGCAAGGTGTGGCGCGAGGTCACGCGCGGCCTCAGCCTGCCCACCACCATCACCTCGGCCGCCTTCACGCTCCGCACCCAGTGAGGCCCGGCGGGGGTTAGGGGAATGGGGGGGGTGGGTGGTGGAAGGAGTGCGAGGCGGCTCCGGGTCCCGATCGCGGGGCGCCGCTTCCCCAGCGCACACGCCCCCCGCCCGCCCGCAGGTACATGAAGTATCTGTACCCGTACGAGTGCGAGACGCGCGCGCTCAGCTCGCCCGGGGAGCTCCAGGCCGCCATCGACAGCAACCGGCGCGAGGGCCGTCGCCAGGCTTACACCTCCGCCCCGCTCTTCGGCTCCACCGGGCCGCCCCCTCGGGGCACCCCGGGCCCCGCCTCCGTGCCCGGCTCCGCCCTGCCAGCGCCCCCGCCCGGCCCCCGACCCGCCCAGGCCTCCGCCTCCAGGCTGCCGGCGCTCGCCTGCGCGCAGCTGAGCCCGAGCCCCATTAAGAAAGGTGTGAGGGGGCGAGGCGCTGGGGTTTTTATGGGGCTCTGAGACCCAGGAGTACGCTGAGATATAGGGAACATTAACATAGGGGACAATGAAGTGCGGGAGGCGTGGAGGGACGGGGCAGTGGGGAGTGATGGGGCACTGAGATTTGATGCACTCTGATCTTAGGGGTCCTGAGGTTTGGGGTCAGTGAAGCCTTGTGGACCCCGGAGTAAGGGTTACTGTGGTAAGCGGCTGAAGGTCCTTTATCCAAAGAAATTCCATTTACAGCTGTCCACCCGGGGTTCCTAGTTGCATGTGGTTTGTGCCTTCTGTGACCTGGATTATTTAACAACTGAGAACAGGAGATCCTCCAAATTTTGGGCCAATTTAGACATATATTGGCATTTTGAGTCCTAGCCGATGTGGCTCAGTTGGTTGGATCGTACTCCTGTACACCAGAGGGTGGTGGGTTCTATTGACACATACCTGGGTTACAGAGGCAACGGATTCTCTCTCTCTCTCTCTCTCTCTCTCTCTCTCTCTCTCTCTCTCTCTCTCTCTCCTCCCCTCCCCCATCTCTCTATCTAAATAACAACAAATCAACATATTGGCCTTTTGGGCTCTCCAGTTTCAGAGCCTCTAGGCTGAGACTCCGGATGGGAGTGGAGATTGAACATGGTGCTTGAACTTGGGTGACTGACCTCCCTCGGTGCCAGGCCTGGGGAGAGAGCTAAATGCAGAGACTGACTTGATTGGGTCAGGGGAGCTGAATCGCCTGTTTTTCCAGAAGAGAGTGGAATTCCAGCTCCTCGACTGGCACTGCCTGTGGGCCTGGCCCTGGGACCTGCACGGGAGAAGTTAGCACCAGAGGAGCCTCCAGAGAAGAGGGCTGTGCTGATGGGGCCCATGGAGCCACCTCAACCTGGTGCACCCCCGAGTTTTCTGCCCCATGGCAAGGTTCCCCTAAGGGGTGAGGAAGGGCTTGTTGCTAATAGGGTTTTGGGCCTGTGCACGGTGGGAGGACAGACCCATTACCTCATAGGCATTGGAGGTGGGGCAGGCAGATCCCTAAATAGACAACTGTGTGATTACAGGTTGAGGCTGAAGTCGAATGGGGGTATCTATGGGGATGGAGGGGGGAGTTTGTAAGTCTGAAGTGTGATTCCCAAAAATGTGACTCCCCTGCCCCCTCCTGGACAGAAGAGCAGCTGGATGGGCCTCTCAATCTGGCGGGCACTGGTATCAGCAGTATCAACATGGCCCTAGAGATCAACGGGGTGGTCTACACAGGTATGGGTACTGCATGCTGTCTGCACTGGCATGAGGTCAGGGGTATTTACATTGGCATGGGGATTTTAGATGTTTTCTACTTCATAAGATTCAGGGATATCCAAACTTGCATGGGTAATATGGAGTTCAGGGGATTGCTGCATTGGCATGGGTTAAAGGGTCTGTCCACATGGCATGGGGGTCAAGGCATGACCCTCTATGAGTACCATGGTTACCATGGGATGTCAGCCTTGTCATGGGCCTATCAGTGTAAATATTCTTTACCTGTTTGAGGGTATCTATGTTAGCATAGAAGTCTCTGACTGACCCAAGGGTTTGTCCTCATTGGTTTGTGGCAGAGGTGTGTGTGGTGTAGCAATAAGGTCACTAACTTTTGTTTCCTTCTTCTGTTTCCCTGTCATTCCCTCTCCTGCTTGTATTTTCCCTCTACCATCTCCTCACCCCTTTGCCAGGCATCCTCTTTGCCCGCCGCCAGCCTGTGCCAGCTTCCCAGGGCCCAATTAACCCTGTGCCCCCAACCCATACAGGGCCCCCTTCCAGCACCTCACCCTGAGAGTTCCCACCTTGAATTAAGAGTCCTAGCCCATTGCTGGTGGGCGGGGCATGGGGGAGACACCCCCTCCACTTTGATTCTTCCAGAGGGTTCACCCTAGGACCCAGTCCTGGGAGGTGACCACTCCCTCCACATGCCATGTGGACTTGAAGCCAAAGAGTTGTTTGTTTGTTTGTTTGATGTTATATCTACCTCATTGTAAAGGGAGGGCACTTCCTCTCTGGCCAACTCCAGCAGCATCTACCAAAGAGTCCTGCCCCTAGTAACCCCCATCATCTCCTCACTTTGTCGATGTCACGTCTAGGACCCTACCTCTTGGAGTCAGACCTGCTTCTTCTCTTCAGGAGCCATATGAAGGGTTGCATTGGGATGTTGTGAAGGAGATGTCCCTCAGGTCACATCTGGATAATAAAGCTGTAGTTCCTCTCTCCCCAGTGCCTCTTCTTATTTGTATCTGGGAGTTGGAAAAGGAATTGTGTGGTTTACAGGCTGCGTTGGGCCAAGGGTTCTCAGAGGGAAGACAGAATAGCAAAGGCCTATGAGAATAGAAGAGCTCGGTCTCATGAGTCAGACTGCCGGGGTTCAAATCCTGATTCTGCTGCCACTGTAGTGCTGAGTGGTCCCACCGTGTGAACCTTATTAGACTCTAAAAGGTTATGGTATCTATTGATCTAAAGGAATGGACCAATCCTAGAATAATGAGTGTATTTATATGCGCAGCTTCGGGGAATGAGGTGGAGAAACCTCTTTGGTACCATGAAATGGGAAGGAGAGAGGTAAAGGTTGTCTTGACAAACAGGCGTCGTCGTTGCCTAGGTAACCAGACAACTTTCGACTCTCTTCGCTGGCTCAGCCGGCCACTTCCGGCATTGAAGGCCCGGGACGTGACGTAACTTCCTGAACGGAGGGGAGCCCGTACACTCGGATTGGCTAGCCTTCTCCTACTTGGACGGACATCCCGCCCTCCAGCTGTTCCGCGGTTGAGGCGGAGCGGAAGCGATGGCGGCTGTCACCGATGTGCAGCGGCTGCAGGCCCGCGTAGAGGAGCTGGAGCGCTGGGTGTACGGACCGGGTGGGGCGCGCGGCTCGCGGAAGGTGAGCGGTTTGGGCCCAGGAGTCCCTTTCTGAGGCAGAGCGAGGGCGGGCTGCTGGCCTGTGCCTCGGGATGGATGCCGTGCCAGTCCCGTCGCCTACCGTCCGGCCTTTGAAATAACAAAGGTCCGAGACCTCCCGGAGCACTTTGGACCCCCTGGGTCCATGCCCTTGCAGGGAACTGCGGGGTATTAGGTATTAGGCCCGTCTGAAACGGGCTCAGGATGAACCCTAAGACTCTGCACCTGCCAGCTGGGGAGACCTGACACCCTCCGGAAGCTGGCTAGCGAGAGTTTCAGAAAGAGCTGCAGCCCACGAAGCCCTTTGTCACGAAGCCCCGTGTAATTAATTGCTAAGTGAATTGTGCAGAAGGAGGTCCATGGGATTAGAGGAGGCAGAGCAGAGGTGCTAAAGAAGGCTCCGGGGCGCGGGAGGGGGGTTGTCGGGGTGGGGCGGGGGGTAAGAGATGAGGTCACTGGGATTAGGAGGGGAAAGGATTGCACACTGGGTTTTTCGATATGGACTGGCACTTCTTCACCCAGTAACTGAGTTTTCACAACTGTGAAGCCCAGTTGTCCTCTTATCCCCTTTTTTACTACGGGAAGACCTTTTACTGAAGGTGGAGTGTCAGGGATATCCTGGATTTAAGTGCATCAGAGGCAGTAATATCTGTGCACCCTCGTGGAACTAGTGGATGCTAGCAGATTGTGCCCCATTTGAGGAGGGACTTCTCAAAACATTCTCTCCCTTAGACATCTATGATGCTTACCCTCATTATTCCTTCTACGAGAATGGCTGTGCTACTCAGTTTTATTTGCCTCCCCATATATTTGACCCTTGAATTTTGGGTGAGATCATTCACTTCCATTGCCTCTCCATCTATTCAGCCCTTTAATATTGGGATTCCTCATCCTCTACCCTTAACGTCTAGGTAGGTCCAGTCAGAGAGGTGGGAACCAGAGAATATACACTGAGTGGCCAGACTATTATGATCTTGGAACACATAATAATATGGCCACTCAGTGTATATCCTATATAATAATCCTATATAATAAAAGGCTATTATGCAAATTGTCTCCTTGATCAGGAGTTCCACCAGCAGGCAGGCTGGCCAACCGCCCATGTCCCCTCCCTCTGGCCAGGTTGGCCGGACCCCACCCATGCATGAATTCATACACCGGGCCACTAATAGATATATACTGAGTGGCCAGATTATTATGTGTTCGAAAATCATAATAATCTGGCCATTCAGTGTATAGTATATGCCAGTGTCCCATAAACTGTAAAATAGTTCGTTATCTCCCCAATCAAACTAGAAACTCCCCCAAGGAGTACATGGTTATCTCCCTGTTCACACTGAGGATTCCTGGAGGCGTAGAGTTACATCTCCTTTAATACAGGAGAAAGTGCCCAACCTAGATTTCTGGGGTAAAGAGATTTGGGGGTCTGAGGGAATGAGGGTTCTTCATATCTTCCAAGCCTTGAACCAGGTGGTGCATCTTGGAAATAACTTTCACTCCCCTTACAGGTGGCTGATGGCCTGGTCAAGGTGCAGGTAGCTTTGGGGAACATTGCCAGTAAGAGAGAGAGAGTGAAGATTCTGTACAAAAAGAGTAAGTTTCAGTCGGGCGCCTGCCTGCCTTCTTCTTTCCCATGCCTGTACTTCCTGAGGACTGGCCTGGTTCTTCAGCCCCTTAGGTCACTGGAGTTGCCCTTTGGGGATAGAATGTGAAGACGTTTCCCTGCTGAAATGGTGAATGGGGGTACGCTTTCTATTTTGTGGTAAAACTTCAAGCCCATGGCAGTGTCCCAAGTGATGGGATAAGAGCTCCGTGTGAGAGATCCCTTTGGTGAAGTATGGAGAACAGGTATGGGATTTCCACAGTCAAGATCGCAAGGCAGGAAATTAATTAGGCACCAGAGTTCTACCTTTGGCTCAGCCAGGCCTTTTTGGTTGTGTCAGAGCTAGCAACCTGCTCAGTAATTAGAAATCAGATAAAGCTCTGGTTGTCTTGGTGGCACTGAGGGGCAGAGGCCTTCCACCCTTGGTGAACATAGGTCAGTGAGAATACTGAGGGCCCCAGGATACTCCAAGCTCTAAAGTTTGAGGTCAGCCAGCAGGTGATCAGAAGGGAGAAACAGGGAAGTATGGATAGAAGCCCTGGTAGAGGCCCTGCTAACAGACACTGTAGGCGTCAACTCCTCACTGAAGCCTCTCCCTAAGGTGGACCATTCTCCAATATCCTTCATAAAACAGACCCTCACTCCCCAACCCTAATCCATTTTCCATCTTGTACTTTTCTAGTTGAAGACCTGATCAAATACCTGGATCCTGAGTACATTGACCGCATTGCCATACCTGATGCCTCTAAGCTGCAGTTCATCTTAGCAGGTATGCATGTGCCTCTGGGGATGCGGATTGTGGGGGAATTTGGGCACAGAGATGGCCTCCCTGCCAGTGCTAATGGGTAAAGCCCAGGGAACTGCTGTCTGGAATTCTGGCCACCGGCTGGGTTGAAGCTGGGGTGGTCTTGTGGTTCTTGTGTAGCTCTGGGTGTGGTATATTTCCGAACCACCTGGAGGCCATGGTGCTAGCCCCTGTGGGAGTGACTCCAGTGTTCTATCAGTGGTTTATCTCTAGGATTTTCCTTTAGAATCTTTCCCACTTCAGCTCACAGGGGACCTTCTAGGAAAGGGAGGAGCAGAGAGCATTGCATTTGGGAGAGGAAAATATTGGCATGAGTTTCTACATCTTTTTTTTTTTTTTTTTTTTCATATGAGAAAGCTCTGGGATTTCAGAGTTCTAGGCAATATCTGCTCATCAGATAGTCAACCACTCCATGGGGCAGGGTTTTTCAAGCACCTGTGCTTGTTCATTCTTTGAAAAGATGTTTAATAATAATCTATTGCATCAAATTCAGGAAATCTTCTCTTGCACTAACTCTTTTTTTTAATATATATATATATATATATATATATATATATATATATATATAAAATTGATTTATTACAGAGAGGGAGGGAGAGGGATAGAGAGTTAGAAACATAGGTGGGAGAGAAACATCGATCAGCTGCCTCCTGCACACCCCCTACTGGGGATGTGCCTACAACCCAGGTACATGCCCTTGACCGGAATCAAACCTGGGACCCTTCAGTCCGCAGGCCGATGCTCTATCCACTGAGCCAAACCGGTTTCGGCTCTTGGACTAACTCTTGAATCCAGCCTCTCCCTCCCTCCCTTTGGCTGCTGCCTCAGTGTTCATCCATTCACACTTGAACGGTTACAGTTTCCCAAGTCCTCTTCTTGACCCTAGCAATTCCCTTCTTGCATGTGGTCCAGTGTCATCTTTCCAAAACACATTTCCAACATGCCACTTTGTCTGCTGAGGAACTTCAGTGTCTCTTTCTCTCTCTCCTTGCCAGGATAAAGTCCTACATCCTTAGCCTGCCATTCAAAGCCTTCTGCAGTTTGCTGGATCTCCCCTCCCATCCAGCTGTTTCCTGTGCTCTCCTTTAACCAGTTCAGCAAGTTAAATTCTTTTTCCTCTGCTAATTGACAAGCACTCCTGCTTCCAGATGTTTGACATAACAGTCCTCCCTCCTTCGGTGCCCTTCCCACTCTTTGCAACCATTGAAATCCCCTGCACAGGACCATGCTGTCCTTATTGGACTCTTCTGTCACTGCCCCAGTTCTCCAGAGCCTCTGAGCAGAACCGGCCTGGCAGCGGCCACGTCTCCTCTTTCAGACCCTCCCTTCCCAGGAGCCCTGAGTGCAGGGTCCTAAGTCCGAAGTACTTTGTCTCCTGTGGCCTCCGAGGGGCTCACTGAGTTTGTTGAGGCTAGAGGAAGAGGCCTTCAGGTTAAAAACTGGAGAAAGGTTGGATTTGGAGAAACTTAGAGGCTCCTTGGGCTCAAGATGGATCAGACCAGAGGCATTCAGGGAGGTTGGGGGCAGAATGGGGGAATGTGCCCCTTGAGGGGGCAGTGGCTCCAAGCTCCAGGACCCAGCCATCTCCTCTGCCAGGATCTCAGCCTCTTGCATTGGAGTAGCAGTGCCTAGACTTGCCTCACTGCCACTATCTTGTCTGTTTACTCCTCAGAGGAGCAGTTTGTCCTCTCCCAGGTTGCACTTCTGGAGCAGGTGGAGGCTTTGGTGCCCATGCTGGACAGCGCTCATATCAAAGGTACCCCTCCACTATTCCGCCTGGGGAGGTGGGTGGATGGGCAGGACTTCCCTGTGCCTCAGGTTCCCTGGGCTCAGGCTAGGTCTGCTCCTTGTCTTTATCTTTTTTTTTTTTCTTTTCATTTTTAACCCTTATCTAAGGATTTTTTTTTTTTTTAATTGATTTCAGTAAGGGAGAGGGAAAGAGAGAGAAACTGATTGGTTGCCTCCCATACACACCCTGACCAGGGATTGAACCCACAGTCTGGGTATATGCCCTGACCAGAAGGTAAACCCATGACCTCCATGGGATGCCGCTCCAACCAACTGAGCCACACCACCAGGGCCCTTATCTTTATCTTTAACCTGGCGGCTACTTGGGATTAGAAATTGCCAAGGCAGAACCCCGCCAATTTTGGCCTAAGGATAGCAATGTAAGCCCAGCAGCCCCGACTCTGAGGATTCCTTCTGCCTTTTATCCCACCTCTCAGCATCTGTCTTTTGGGGTCCTGCAGAGCCCAGATTTTACTGTCAGTCTCTCTGCCAGGTATGTGAATGTGTGTGAATGCCTCCTGCCACACTGCTGAGAGCAGTCTCTATGCCTGGGTTTTGACAAGCAGACAGTGACTTTAATTGAATCCAGATATCCATCCTGTCTGTCTCTGGAGGTATTTCTCCAAGCTCTCCCTCCCTACCCCTGGTGAGCTACCTGCTGAGCATCTAACGGCCTGAAGCTTTGGGCCTAGCATGGTGGCCAAGGCTTTGGGTACTGGATCTCAGGTGGCCAGCGTAGGGACCTGGCACTTATCCTCAGCCCACCTGCAGGCACCCTGTGCCCTACGTCAGGCAGACCTGGACCCACTGGCCGAGAGCAAAGGGACAGGTCCCACGATAGGTAAAGCTCTTTTTACCTGTCACTGCTTCTGATGCTGGAGTGGAGGTATGGGGAACCTCTGGGGACCCCAAGGTTTTGACTTCTAGGGGCCTGTATCTTCCCCTCCTTTTTGGGTCCTAGAATATGACCTGCGTGAGCAGGGAGTCCTACCACCTCCTCCAGCTGCAGCGGTCAATGAAGCCTGGCGTTTGTTTAGTTTCCCCACTCAATACTCTAATCCTGCCAAAGACCTAATAGACTATTGAGCAGTTTCGGGGGAGGCACAAGCATCATCGGGCAGTGTGCATTGTGTTTTACAGCCGTTCCTGAGCACGCCGCCTGCCTGCAGCGCTTGGCCCAGATCCACATCCAGCAGCAGGTATGGGGGTGGGGGGAGAACGGGCAGGTGGTGAGGCTCCGAGTCCCCACCCCAGCCTCAGGGGAAACAGCCTCGGGCTCCCCTGATATCAGCTCCAGGGGAAACTTGGGGATCTATCCTTTATTTTCCATCAACCTTAGAGAAGGGAAGGGACTCTGCTAGAGCCACATCCAGGTCTCCTGCCTCCCAAAATAGGGTTACCCTGAAACACCAAAAGGTTGAGTTGGGAGGTATCCAAGAAACCCTGGGGACGGTGTATCCTTGACTGTGGGTGGAGAAGCTGTGTGTGTGTGTGTGTGTGTGTGTGTGTGTGTGTTTTACTATTACCAGGCTTTGTTGTAAATTCAAAAAGGGTTCAGAAATGGGGGAGGGGGTGAGGTGAAAATGTTTCCTTAAATGTGCGGTCCATTCCTCCTTCCATCAGCTTTAAAACTGCTATTTGTGTCCCCATTTTGTGGCCTCAGAGTACCCCTTTAGACATTTGCTTCTTTTGGCTCTGGGGTTAAGCATCACCTCTCTGGGGGATGAGGGGCCCTGATGAGGCAGGAAGGTTGTGGGAAACGAGGGCTTTGTCCATCTCCTTTCTTTTCCACACCTTAACCCCGCAGGACCAGTGTGTGGAGCTCACTGAGGAGTCCAAGGCTCTCCTGGAGGAATACAACAAAACTGTATCCTTTCTGCTCAGCCAGGCCCCTGAGGAGTTGTCCAGAGCCCTGTATTTTTCTCCTATCTCTAGCTCTGTCTCTCATCCCATCCCAACCAGCTCTATTCCCCTGCTCCCCCACCCTTTTGGCAGATGCAAAATATCTGCACCACCTCATTCACACTCCTGTTTTCCCCTTAACTTGCAAATAGATAATGCTTCTCTCCAAGCAGTTCGTGCAGTGGGATGAGCTTCTTTGCCACCTGGAGGCCGCCAAGCAAGTGAAGCCAGCAGAGGAGTGATGGCTGCTACCCATCCCACGGCGGGCCAGGGCAGCCAGGCTCTGGGGCCCTGTGCCAGCCTCCCCTCTCTTAGGGCAGAGGCAGCTCTGTATTTATTGGATCCACAGCCTACCTGTCCGCACTCAGATGGGGCCCTGGGGTCACAAGTCAGGCTGCTTTGCATACCCTCCCCTCATCAGTATCCTATTTCCAGTGACAATAAACTGTATAGATCACCGGAGGAGTGTGCCGGATTCTTGGTCGAGGATGGGGGTGGGATGAGGATGGGGTGATGGAGGGTAGTGTTGTCAACCTTCGTAGTGGCTGAACCAGGAGCTGTACTCATCCAGGTCTAGCTTTCAGGGAGTGTAGGGCTCTCAGGACGAATGCTCTCATTTGATTGGTGTGAGTGGAACATTCACTTACGTATCTATCCCACATTTCCCAATTATCCTTCTTTATGTATGATTCCATGCCAGGTGGGGAGGATACAGTTAGGGTCCACCTGATCCCTGCTCTGCACAGGCTAGCTGTGAGATAGTCGTGGAAAAGGGCAGTCCTATCAGGTGGACACAAGAAAAGGATGGAGGAGGCAGCCCTAGGCGATATGCAGGGTCTTTGAGAGCCCAAGGAGCAGCAGGTGCAAAGGCAGAAAAAGCCCCTAAGTTTCTTAATTGGTAGCCTTCTTGGTAAGAGGTTTGGACCCATTAAGGAATGAGGACGCTTGAGAAAGAGCAGAGATTAAAATGGTCACTTTATTCCACCAAGTGTTTTCTGCCCCCTTGTGGCCTCAGGGAGTGCTGTGGCTCCAGGCTCCTTTTCAAAGGCCTGCCTCCGCTGTCTCAGGTGTCTCAAATTCAGCTTGTCCGAAACAAGTCTGGAGCTGGGAGTCCTCCTAGGCCCTTACCTCCTTTGTCCAAAAAGTCACCAGCTTCTCACCGTGCATACCTCCTAATATCCCAACTTAATCTGCATTTCTCCATTCCCACTGCCATTTTTCTGCTTTGTTCACTAAATAATTTAACAAACATTCAGGTACCTGTTATAAGCCCAGCACCTGAGTGTTTCAGTGGCCACATCCCCAGGACCCAGGGGCCTGTGAATCACTAGCGATTGCGGCCAGATACTTCCCCCTCCTTCCTTCAATGCAGCCAGAGTGAGCTGTGCACACGAGCTATGTTGACTGGCCCCTGAAGAAAACTCCCTGGCCCGCTAGTGCCCACCGAATGAGGTCAAAGCGCAGAACTCGGCGACCAAGGCTCCGTCCGCGCAGCAGGCACTCTAGACGGAGCCTCGTGTCCCTGTCCAGAGTGAAGCCTTTGCTAACGTGCAAGGGCCAAGACCTTCCCGTCCTTCAGAAGCGGGGCGCCTCCTCCCGCCCCAGTAGGAGTGCCCCTTCCCCAGGCGGGGCACCATAGACGGAACGTGCTTTGGGTCCCTAGACGTCCCAGACGACCCGGCCATTCCGGCCAAACTTACTCCTAGACTTCCGGTCACCCAGTCTGCCGCAGCGGCTCCGCGGGTCCCGCCCCTCAGGCCCCGCCCCGCCAAGACCACGCCCCTCACACCAGGCTCCGCCCCGCCCATCATACTGGGCCCCGCCCTCCTCAGGTCTCGCCCCGCAGGCACCGCCCATCCACAAGACCACGCCCCTCAGGATAGGCCCCGCCCACCCGGCATGCGCGGTCCAGTGGCCTCGGCGCGCTCCCGGCCGGCTCCCGGCCCGCGCGCCATCTTGGCTCTGGTTCGGGCTTGAGGCGGGCGCAGTTGCGGCGGTGAGAGCCGGAGCCTAGCGGGTTGGGGGTCACCTGGAGGTGGGGGCGGGCGGGAGAGGCCGGCGTTGGGCCGTGCGGCCTGCAGGACGTTGGGGTGCCCTGTGACGATAGAGGCAGCCGAGCCGGCGGGCCCGACGCCTGGAGTTCCCCAAGCAAGTCCGCGCCCGCCACGCTCCCCCCATCCCATGGGTAGGGGGGTGACTGGGAATCTCGGGGTGAGGGGTGCTCGATCCTGTTCTGGGGATTTCGGTGCGACGGAGGGGTTAGTTCTGTCTGAGGGTTTTTAAAAAATAATTTATTGTTGAAAGTGTTACATACGCCCCCTTTTTCTCCCCATTGACTCCTCCTCGCCCGCCCTGGCCCCAGGCCTTCCCCATGTCCGTGAATTATACACACACGAGGTCTTTGGTTGAACTCTTCCCACCCACTCTTGAGGGGCATTTGACCAGGGCTCTTGTCTCTGCCTCGGAGCTTGAGGGGATTTGGATCTTTCTTTTCTTTTTTAAAAAAATATATTTTATTGATTTTTTACAGAGAGGAAGAGAGAGGGATAGAGTTAGAAACACCGATGGGAGAGAAACACCCATCAGCTGCCTCTTGCACACCCCCTACTGGGGATGTGCCTGCAACCAAGGTACATGCCCCTGACCGGAATCGAACCTGGGACCTTTCAGTCCGCAGGCGGCCGCTCTCTCCACTGAGTCAAGCCGGTTTTGGCTGGACCTTTCTTAAAGAGCCCAGTGCAGTGGGAATTTGGTTCAGCCTCGGGCAGAGGGTGGGTTATGGCCCTGCCCGGGGAATGGGGTGTGTGAGGTACAGCCCTTCCCAAGGGGAGGCAGGAGTGGTCCCTGTTGGTTGTCTTGTTCCCGGAGATCGGGGATGAGGCGCGGGGCTGCGTCTGGGAGAGCCAGGGCACACTGCTGAGCATTCATCTGGTTCTTCCTTGCAGTGGGCAGTGAGAGTCAAGGCAACAGCCAGCGGGATGGAGCACTACCGGAAAGCTGGCTCTGTGGAACTCCCGGCGCCGTCCCCGATGCCCCAGCTTCCTCCTGATACCCTGGAGATGCGGGTCCGAGATGGCAGCAAAATCCGCAACCTGCTGGGGCTGGTGCTGGGTCGCTTGGAGGGCGGTGGCACGAGACACGTGGTGTTCTCAGGTTCCGGCCGGGCTGCGGGGAAGGCTGTCAGCTGTGCTGAGATCGTCAAGCGGCGGGTCCCAGGCCTGCACCAACTTACCAAGCTGCGCTTCCTGCAGACTGAGGACAGCTGGGTACCAACCTCCCCGGACACAGGCCTAGATCCCCTCACAGTGCGCCGACATGTGCCTGCGGTGTGGGTACTGCTGAGCCGGGACCCCCTGGACCCTAATGAATGTGGCTACCAGCCCCCAGGGGCGCCCCCTGGCCTGGGCCCCACACCTAGCTCCAGCTGTGGCCCCCGGCCCCGAAGAAGGGCTCGGGACACGCGGTCCTGAAGACCGGCTGAGCAAGCTATTCTCCAAGCCCGAACGTCGAGGGTGGCTGTGCCTTCTCTGAGAAGCCTCTAACTGCTCAGCATTCCCAACAAGACTTGAATCCACAGAGTGGGCCTCCCTGTTCTGATTCCCCTTCCCTCTGGCATATGGAAGGGGCTGCTACAAAGAGTGACAGGTGTGGGGTCTCAGCTGGCTTACTCTGCCTTCCATACAGTGCCTCTGATCTGCCTTCAGACAGAGGTCCAGGGAGTGGGTTAGGAAATAAAGGTTTTGCCGTTTGTCTGTCTGATGAGCCTCCTCTGCTTGGTCTGCTATATGGAAATGGGGTTAAGGGGGTGGGGGTCTCTGCCCTTGTCCCCCAGGAGCTCACAGGCGGGACAGAGACAGGAAGTGTAGGCTCAGGCTATTGCTGGGAGGATTAGAGTCGTTAACAAGCCTCAAATAGCAACCTGACTATATCTAGATCTCTGGGTGGGTCTACTGGGTGCTTTGGGCTGGTTTAAGGACTCTGCCGGGGCGGACATTTTTCTCCGTCTGTGGCATATATAATAGTGGTTATGATTATGGTCTTAGGCACTAGACTGTCTAGATTTGAATCCTGATTCTGCCTCTAGATTATTAGTAAGTTACTGCTTTGTGCCTTAGTGTTCTCATCCAAAAAACAGGATATAGTGCTTACCTCACAGGGTTTTTATGAGGATTGAATGTAGAAATACACACGTAACTCTTAGATACTACCGGGCTTGGAGTGCTATGTAAATATTAATTGCCAAATTATTAATGACTCGCCTCACAAATACGCTTTTTCTTTTTTTAATTTTTAAATATATTTTATTTATTTTTTATAGAGAGGAAGAGAGAGGGATAGAGAGCTAGAAACATTGATAAGAGAGAATCATCGATCAGCTGCCTCTTGCACACCCCCTACTGGGGATGTGCCCGAAACCAAGGTACATGCCCTTGACTGGAATCGAACTTGGGACCTTTCAGTCTGCAGGCTGACTCTCTATCCACTGAGCCAAACTGATTTCGGCAAATGTGCATTTTCTTATCTTAAAAACATACCTTCATCTCATATCTGCCCTTCAGGTTTCATCTTTGCTTTTTTACCCCCGGCTGCTCCTTTTCTGTCTCACATTGGCTTTAGACTCAGATTCACCATGGTCAGGTCAGGGGCATGAGGGAAGAGGTAAAGATTGCAATGGGAACCAGGGGCTGCAGGGACCAGAGCAGGATGGTGGGCCGTGGTGGACTTAGTGAAGAGGTGAGCCAATTGGGTCTCCCACTGAATTTTTTTTTTTAAATTACATTTGAAAAAAAAATTACATTTGATGTTCAAAATATTAGTTTCAAGTGTAAAGCTTAGTGGTTAGACATGACTTGGGAAGTGATCCCACTGGATTTTGGGGTCTCCAATGTATCTAGTAACCTGGGTGTTCAGTCACCAGGGAAGCACAAAGTTAGGGTTCTTCTGGGTTCGTGTTGTAGCAGAATGGGCTCAGCAATTTGAGTATTGAAGTGATGTTTGGCTGAGTGCGGGCAGGAGGGGTTGAGATGTTGGTGAAGACAGAGTTGGGGGGACTTGAGGCCTCAGTAGGGCTTAGAGCAGGGATGAGGAGACCATAGGACCAGCAGGTTATGGTCAAAACAGAACACTGCTTCACCCTTTACTTTCTGAGGTATGTTCCCAGAGTGATGTGGAAGACGCTGAGGGAGAGGCAGGTGATGGAGATTCAGGGGTTATTAGGAGAGATGGCCAGGCCTCTCAAATGTAGGGGGTCATGAAGCACCCAGTATACCCCTAGGACTGTGGTGGTGACTCAGGTGTCTTGCTACCAACAACTGCCAGACTTCTCCCTATTCTCTTTGTGGCTAATCCAGGTTTTTTGCTTATTGTCTTTTTCTGCATATTGTCTTTTCTCTGAGCATTTCCACTCGTGTGTCTTCGACCATCAACAGCTCTTTGAGTGGCATTGGTCCCCAGAACTTTGGAACCAGGCTACTTGCAGACTGTTGGTCTTTGGCTCAGCATCCCATCCTGATCCAGAGTGGAATGATCGTGTGGAATAAGCATGGTGACTGTGGTGAAGGAACGATTCAGTAAGGTGGCATTACAAGCTCTGGGTGTTCTAGGAGGTGGCTCATCATCAGAGGACTACCTGGGATCTCCAGGGTGATGGTAGGGGTAGTGCAGAGAGAAACTGAGCTGGGGTCAAGATTTTTTGGGAAGAACAGTGTCTGCAACTCAGAGAATCAGGAAATAGGCCACAGGCTGAGGAAGGGATGGATGGCTAGTGATTCTGGTTTTTTTTTCTCTCCTTGGCCTTTATAGGGCCCAACTGGGGCCTAGAAAAGGAAATGTGGGGAGGGAGCAGAGAGAAGGGAGGCCTTTGGAGGTTGGAAAGAGTTTTCGTTGTGTCTAAGTGCTGATTCAGGTATTTGGGCTTTTGTGTTTTGTTTTTCACTTTCTACTCTATTGTTAAGCCACTGCAGTATGGCATTTTCCTCCAACATTTTTATTTTTTAAGAAAAGGTTATGCATGCCAGCTGGCATGGTTCAGTGGTTGAGCGTCAACCTAAGAATCAGGAGGTCACAGACACATGCCTGGCTCAATCCCCAGCGTGGAGTGTGCAGGAGGCAGCGATCAATGATTCTCTCTCATCATTGATTTTTTCCCCCCCTCTCTCCCTCTCCCTTCTTCTCTGAAATCAATAAAAATATATTTTTAAAAAGGAAAAGGTTATGCTACTTCTAAACAGTTCTTTCAAGAAGTTGGATTGTGAATTGGTGGAGAGAGGTGATAAATAGCTGGAGAGAAATGTAGACTAAGTGAGAATTTTATTTTTAATGAGTTGGCAGAGATTTGAACATGTTTGCAGGCTAATGGACAAAGCTTCTGATTTTCCTTATCCTGGTCCCTCACCCCATTTTTTTTTTTTTGTCTTTTAAATATAATTTACTTCTTCAGTGTTTTTGTTTATCTGTCTCCTCCTGATGAGAATGTTAACTCCAAATGGGCAGGAATTTTTGCCTTGTTAATTTTTTTGTTAATCCTCACTGGAGGACATTTTTTCTGTAGATTTTTAGAGAGAGAGTAGAAGGGACAGAGGCTGGTAAGAGAGACACAGAGAGAAATATCTATGTTGAGAGATTGATTACCTCCCGTACATGCCCTGACCAGGGAAGGGGATTGAGCCAGCACCCGAGGTATGTGCCTTTGACTGGAATTGAATCCGGGACCCTTCCGTCCAAGGCTGATGCTCTATCCACTGAGTCAAACAGGCTAGGGCTAACCTAAGGATCTTGAACATAGTATGTGCTTGATAAATATTTAATGAGTGAATGAATGAATATTGAGCCTCCAAGTATGTCACCACACCCAGATCTTATCCCATGCCCATTTTAGAGGGAAAGATCCAAATTAATTCACTGGATAGCCTTAAAGGATCCCCTTGGTTGGTCATTGCCTTGGTTTGATCCCCTTGGACCCTGGTCTTTGGTCACATTAATGCCTCACTCTTCCCACATGACATAAGATTTTTCTGCCTCTTTGCTCTTCCCATTCTGTCTGTCTGGAACTCATCAAGAATGTTCAAAGGAGCTGAAACTGGTTTGGCTCAATGGATAGAGCGTCGGCTTGGGGACTGAAAGGTCCCGGGTTCGATTCCGGTCAAGGGCATGTACCGTGGTTGCGGGCATATCCCCAGTAAGGGGGTGTGCAAGAGGCAGCTGATCGATGACTCTCATCGATGTTTCTAACTCTCTCTCTCCCTTCCTCTCTGTAAAAATCAATAAAAAATATTTTTAAAAAAATGTTCAAAGGATACCAGTGCTAGGCTTTGAGCATTCCTCGGGGCCTACCTCCCCACTCCCCTCTGTTTGCCTAGATCACCAGCCTGGAGCTCATGGATCAGGCCTAGTTCTACTATCGATAGCATAGAATATCTCCAGCTCACACTTGGGTGTTTGCACTGGGGTCATGTCTAGCCGCGCTTCTGAGTCTGGCCACCAGGTGGTAGCATTCTCAAAGGGATACCCATTCCTTCCCTTTGCTGTCTGCAGAGGTCCTCATAAACATCAAGACAGAGAAGATAGTCTAGGCTTGAAATTTGGCCCTCAGTGGGCGCAGTAACCTCTCAGTTGTTCAACAAATAGTTAATGATCACCCATAATGTAACAAATATCACTGGGTTTGGAACCTCCAGTCCCATGAAGATTATAATCACATATACTAGTACAGATAATTTCACTATTGGTGCTTTGAGTTTAGAGATTAGGGTAGTTCACTAGACTTCAAGGGTTCAGAGCCCCTTGTCCAGTCTTTAGGGACAGGCAAAGGAGAAGAGGAAGTGATGCTTGTATAGAATTGCGAGGAAGAGAGAAGTGGAAAGAGCATTCTGGGTAAAGTGCAGGCATGAACTAGGACATAGAGGTGAGAGGAGCATAGAAGTGATCACTGGAGTTTGAAGTTCAAGGCAGGAGCTTGAGGAATGAGGCTCAGACGTGAGTGGGGACCAGACTGGAAGGGCCTAAGTGCCTGGCCAAGCAGCTTGGACTTTTTCTTTAGGGTAATGGAAAGTCACTGAAGGCTTTAAGAAGGAAGTGATATCAAATATAAGATTAGTATTAGGTAGCTCTGGCTGCTATAGTGTGGAAGGTGGATTGAGGGCACAAGGCAGGAAGAACAGTGAGGAAGTTGTCATAAGGATCCAGGGGGAGATGGTAAAACCAAAATATGGCTGTATCAGGCCCCAGAGAAGCCCTGCCCCGCCCACAAGAATTTTCAAGACCTGGCACTTTGAAAGGATTCTTGGCCCAGCACCCTCTCCCCCACCCTTTGAGCTACTGCAGTCTTTCTGTTCTTGAGGCTTCTTTTGGCTCTATTCTAGCTCTGATTATTCTGGCTAGAACCCGGGGCTGCCAGTTTCCAGAGGGAGGCCACAGTGTCCTAGGTTCCTCTCTGTAGATCTGTCGGCCTTGAGCTCAGCCTACACCCCAG